TTTGCTATTTTTGGGCTCAAAAAATTTCAGTAATCTGACATTCTTTCACAAAATTGCTGATTACTCGGTTATTATTGTAACAAATAAAATGTAAAATCATGTATTCTGAATCAGAATTAAATTATCTTCAAGATAAAATAAGATTCAATTCTATATCTTAAATACTTCTAAAGATATTGAGGCTCAAATTTGAAACTTTATCTCAAATTTTGCAAAAGCTTCCAGGCGGATTATCTTGAAAACGAAGCCCTTGGCCTCGGAGTCTCAAATAACCTTTTTTGTAGCAATTATTAAGAGCTACAATTAGGCAAAAGATTCATGCCAATAGCTTCACGGGTTTCCAAAATATGGCCCTTTGAAATATTTGGAAATCAAATTTCCATGCACCCCCCCTTTGGAAAAGTTCGAATTTTTAAATTTTCAGTTTTTCGAATTTTTGACTTCACCAATTGAAAGAAGAGGTTAAAATTAGTAGAAAAACATTTTCGCAACTTTCCTTTTTGGGTTTCAAAGCCTTGTTAAAAAATAAAAACGATTTTGCTATTTTTGGGCTCAAAAAAATTTCAATAATATGACATTCTTTCACAAAATTGCTGATTACTCGGCTATTACTGTAACAAATATAATGTAAAATTATGTATTCTGAATCAGAATTAAATTATCTTCAAAATAAAATAAGATTCAATTCTATATCTTGAATACTTGTGAAGATATTGAGGCTCAAAGTTGAAACTTTACCTCAAATTTTGCAAAAGCTTCCAGGCGGATTATCTTGAAAACAAAGCCCTTGGGCTTGGAGTCTTAAATAACCTTTTTTGTAGCCCTTATTAAGAGCTACAATTAGGCAAAAGATTCATGCCAATAGCTTCACGGGTTTCCAAAATATGGCCCTTTGAAATATTTGGAAATCAAATTTCCATGCACCCCCCCTTTGGAAAAGTTCGAATTTTTAAATTTTCAGTTTTTCGAATTTTTGACTTCACCAATTGAAAGAAGAGGTTAAAATTAGTAGAAAAACATTTTCGCAACTTTCCTTTTTGGGTTTCAAAGCCTTGTTAAAAAATAAAAACGATTTTGCTATTTTTGGGCTCAAAAAAATTTCAATAATATGACATTCTTTCACAAAATTGCTGATTACTCGGCTATTACTGTAACAAATATAATGTAAAATTATGTATTCTGAATCAGAATTAAATTATCTTCAAAATAAAATAAGATTCAATTCTATATCTTGAATACTTGTGAAGATATTGAGGCTCAAAGTTGAAACTTTATCTCAAATTTTGCAAAAGCTTCCAGGCGGATTATCTTGAAAACGAAGCCCTTGGGCTTGGAGTCTTAAATTACCTTTTTTGAGCCCTTATTAAGAGCTACAATTGGGCAAAAGATTCATGCCAATAGCTTCACTGGTTTCCTAAATACAAGCATTTGAAATATTTGAAAATCAAATTTCCTTGCATACCCCTTTGGAAAAATTCGAATTTTTAAATTTTATGGATTTTGCAATTTTTGACTTCACCAATCGAAAGAAGAGGTTAAAATTAGTGGAAAAGCATTTTCAGAACTTTCCTTTTCGGGTTTTAAAGCCTTGTTAAAAAATAAAAACGATTTTTGCAATTTTTGGGCTCAAAAAATTTCAGTAATCTGACATTCTTTCACAAAATTGCTGATTACTCGGTTATTATTGTAACAAATATGATCTAAAACTATATATTCTCAATCAGAATTAAATTATCTTCAAGATAAAGTGAGATTCAATTCTATATCTTAAATACTTCTGAAGATATTGAGGCTCAAAGTTGAAACCTTACCTCAAATTTTGCAAAAGCTTCCAGGCGGATTATCTTGAAAACGAAGCCCTTGGGCTCGGAGTCTTAAATAACCTTTTTTGTAGCCCTTATTAAGAGCTACAATTGGACAAAAGATTCATGCCAATAGCTTTACTGGTTTCCAAAATATGGCCCTTTGAAATATTTGGAAATCAAATTTCCATGCATACATACCCCTTTGGAAAAGTTCGATTTTTTAAATTTTCAGTTTTTCGAATTTTTGACTTCACCAATCGAAAGAAGAGGTTAAAATTAGTAGAAAAACATTTTCGCAACTTTCCTTCTTGGGTTTCAAAGCCTTGTTAAAAAATAAAAACGATTTTTGCAATTTTTGGGCTCAAAAAATTTCAGTAATCTGACATTCTTTCACAAAATTGCTGATTACTCGGTTATTATTGTAACAAATATAATGTAAAATCATGTATTCTGAATCAGAATTAAATTATCTTCAAGATAAAATAAGATTCAATTCTATATCTTGAATACTTGTGAAGATATTGAGGCTCAAATTTGAAACTTTACCTCAAATTTTGCAAAAGCTTTCAGGAGGATTATCTTGAAAACGAAGCCCTTGGGCTCGGAATCTTAAATAACCTTTTTTGTAGCCCTTATTAAGACCTACAATCATGCCAATAGCTTCACTGGTTTCCAAAATACAAGCATTTGAAATATTTGAAAATCCAATTTTCTTGGAGGTCAAAAAAGTTGACAGAAACTTTTTCTGTTAATTTTTCTTGGAATCTGATAATTTTGTTCTCAAATCCGTATAATTTTAAATTTGACATCTGATAACACTGGGCCATAAGTACCCTGAAACGCTACCGATTATGAAAAAAAAAGACACAATGTTAATACATTGTGCGTCGATCGCTATGGAAAAAGGTACTCAGAAAAATTGAAAAATTGAATTATTAATATGTTTAAAAGTTTTATTAACAAATTGATAACAAACAGGGCCCGGATTCCGAAGTCTCGATTCGATAGTACCGTTTATTTAAATACATATAGATAGACGATACTATGGAATCATGAATACCGAATCCAAACCCAGGTCACAAAATATACAGGGTCCTTCATTAAATGAGGTAGTATGTTCATTCCAGAAAAATCGCTTGTCTGTAATGCGAAATTTCATCAAATTTTAGAATTTTATCTGAGGATAAGCAAGTTATATTGTAAGACCCTATGTTATCCTTATACTAATAATTCTCCTTTCCTATGATAATTATAAGCGTACCTACGCCTATATCAAAACTTATAATAATGTAAAACTGCTAAATCAGCGGTAATCCACTGGTAGTACCACCATTCCGCCTACGTAAGTGCTGCATCAGCAGATATTTCTTATTTAAGCCAACGCAGTCCCTTAAGGAGCGTTCATTTGTTTTCAGGCATTTCCTGTAGCAATTTGATCCACATATTTTCGTTTGTCACTATTGTAGTTTAATTAATAAAATAAATGTTTTTTTAAAAATACAAGTTTCTGAATCGAAAATATAATTAGCACCTTGTATTTAGTTGACGATATATTTTGTGACCAAATATATTGTACAGATTTCCCATGTATAGGACATGTGCAAACAAGATCCAGGCCCTATAAAATGGATTCTCTATTTACGTTCCAACGCCCTTTGTGTACCCAAACGCCAAATTTAACAAGGACATATCCCATGTAATAACACGCTTTAATTAATTACATTACAATGAGATGAGAATCGAGAATCTGAGGCTTATTAAAGTGAATTTGTGGAATTCTCGGTTTGTATATCCCATTCGAAAATATTTGCTGCACGTGCTCTAACAATTTGAATTGCGCTCGAGTGAATTCAAATATTCGAAATCAAACGTCTTGACGACACAATTCATAAATTTTGCTTCAGTGCATTTGAATTGTGTAATTTTATTGTAGGAACGAAATTTAAAGTAGACTTTATTTTTAGTTGAAGCTTCTTTGCCCAACAACTTATGTGCTCAAGTTGACGTTAAAAATATCTTTTTTTCCTTGAAAAAACATCCACAAATCATTTTTCAAAATAATACTATGTAGTATATGGAAGGAAATTGGTATCAAATTTCCTCAATTTCGTCATATATATTTTGGCCTTAACCCTTTTCGAAACTCCAGCTTTAAACGATCTAATAAATTGCTTTGCAATCGCAACATTTTGGCAATCAATTCGAAGCCAGAGCGTAGATTATAAGGGTGCGGTTATAGTTCTTGACGGATTCGAACTGTGATTAATGGGAATTTAGATACCCGTACAACATGATGTGTCGGTGCTAAATTATTGCCACCCCAGGTGAATAATTTAATGGTTTCCAAAGCTGGACTTTGACTGGAAACATATTTGAATTATATTCAAGAATGAAAGCTGGAATATTCTGTTTAACTAAGGGGTTTAAATTCAAAAAATAACCAAATAAAATAAATAATTTCAGGTTGATTTTTGCTTCTAATTTGAATAAATGTCTGTCTGTTTTCGACTTTTTAAAATACAAATAAAAGAGACGTTGAAACTTTCCAAAAATACCCCACAAAAGAAGTGTGATTAAACGAAAAAGTGGAGGCGGCAAGGAAGAATCGATTACAGGACGATTTGTCTGGCTTAATCAATTTCGCCGAAATTCCGGTTCGGAATTGTCCTTCAGAGGATCTTAATTGTCGTATTTTACTGTTCTCATTATTCAAAGATCTTGAATTTCACTTTAAGCCAACATTTTCACATTCATATTTTTTTTTTTATTCGTCATTTGATAGTTTCCCTAGGGATTTTGTGCTCCTGTTCATCAGTTAATGGAGCACATTTTTTTTTAGCTCCATAGGGATATTACTAAAATGGTCTGTTTGCTTATTTATATTGAAAATATCCATCAAATAATAATTGATTAAGCTCCATTTTTACATAAAATCCTGCCAAACAACTTAAAAGGACTTTTTTTAATAAAAAATATAAATTTAACTTTCCTTAATCTTTGTTTGGCACCCTCTTTTACTTCCTCCGGAATTCCTGAATTTCCTGAAATACACGAAATCCAGGGAAAAATGAAGTTTGCTGTTTGCAATATTGAAACGTTTTATTGCCTTTTTGGCAATTAACTATACATTAGAGGATGAAAATGTCAAGAAAATAACCTACATTTTTATTTATAAATTATTTTATTTTCTTTTAGAAGAAGCTCTAACATGTAACGTTTGCGACCGAACATTTTCCTGTCCGAAACAATTATCAGCGCACAAACAGAAGAAAAGACATTTTGGGTAAGTAACAATCTTGTTCGTTGTCGATAAATTCCCACTCAAAGTCAAAATAATTCAAATTAAAACTTTTCAGCGTGCCAAAAGTTTCTTTACTCTAGAGCCAACTCCAATAAAAGCTTGTTCAACAAAAAGAGAAGAATGTAATTTAGATTGGCAGATTGGAGATGAAACTTTTCTGACCCTGTTGTAATATTGTATTATATTTTTGATTAACTTGTTATTCCAGTTGTTCAGCTTGCGATTCATTATTCCCCTCATTGATGGCTCTAGAACACCATAAGGAAGAATTCGAACATTGGTCGGATGAAGACGACATTTGTACCGATGATTCAGACGAAGATGACGATACGGTTATAAGCGAAGAATGCGAAAGATTACTTTGAATTTTTTGCTTAAAAAAAGCACAAAACTATTAAACTGGAACCAATCAGAATATACTCAAAAATATATAAGTGTATAGATAATTATTAGCTGATTGAATTTTTAAAGTGAAAATCAAATTATTTGTAACATATAAAAACATATCTTGTATTGTAATCAAAAGAAAAAACAAATGTTGTTCCTTATTTTTTAGCTAATTATATATTTTTTGTACGTTTCTTTTAGGTGTAGTTATAAGGTAAAATGTGACCCCATTCATTGATTCCCTGTTTTGTTTAAATAAAATATATTTTGGAAGAAATTTGATGTTTTCTATTTTAGGTCAGCTTCTAGCAAATTACCAACATGTACTTGAAATAGAATTTCAAGTAATTTACCAAGGGGCAAACCACCTAGGAATTCTTTGCCAAAAATGTGGAGAATTTAGAGGAATTTGTGGGAAATTTAGAGGAATTTGTGAGGAATTTGAAGAAACTCATCCGAATTTATTCAAATTTGGGGAATTTATGGGGAATTTGGGAGAATTTGTAAGAAATTTATGAGAAATTTAAAGGAAATTGTCAAATTTAAAAAATTCAAAAGAATAATGAATACAGTTTTTGTAGGCTGATTTCTAAGATTCTCCATGTTGTAATTTTCTACTGGAAAAATTTTAAATTTTGGAAAAATGTGCTTCTCACCTTCCTCTTTACATGCAAAATGTTTCAAAATTTTCTCTTCATTAGTTTTCCAGGAAATCTTTGAAATGTGTGAGACTGTATTTTCAAGTAATTCAGTTATTGTAAGTTGATTTCCAAAATTTTTCATGTTGCTGTTTTCCACTGGAAAAATTTGAAATTTTAGGAAAATGAGCTTCTCACCTTCCTCTTTACATGCAAAAAATTCCAAAATTTTCTCTTTCCTAGTTTTCCAGGAAAACTTTGAAATGTGTGAGACTGTATTTTCAACTAATTCGGTTTTTGTAGGTTGATTTTCAAGATTTTTCATGTTGCTGTTTTCCACTGGAAAAATTTGAAATTTTGAGAAAATGAGCTTCTTACCTTCTTCTTTATATGCAAAAAGTTTTAAAATTTTCCCCTCACTAGTTTTCCAGGAAAACTTTGAAATGTGTGAGACTGTATTTTCAACTAATTCGGTTATTGTAGGATGATTTCCAAGATTTTTCATGTTGTTATTTTTCACTGGAAAAATTTGAAATTTTGGAAAAATGAGCTTCTCACGTTCCTCTTTACATACAAAAAGTTTCAAATTTCTCTCTTCCCTAGTTTTCCAGGAAAACTTTGAAATGTGTGAGACTGTATTTTCAACTAATTCAGTTTTTGTAGGTTGATTTCCAAGATTTTTCATGTTGTTATTTTCCACTGGAAAATTTTGAAATTTTGGAAAAACGAGTTTTTCACCCTCCTCTTTACATGCAAAAAGTTTCAAATTTCTCTCTTCACTAGTTTTCCAGGAAAACTTTGAAATGTGTGAGACTGTATTTTCAACTAATTCAGTTTATGTAGGTTGATTTCCAAGATTCTCCATGTTGTAATTTTCCACTGGAAAAATTTTAAATTTTGGAAAAATGTGCTTCTCTCCTTCCTCTTTACGTGCAAAATGTTTCAAAATTTTCCCTTCACTAGTTTTCTAGGAAAACTTTGAAATGTGTGAGACTGTATTTTCAACTAATTCAGTTTTTGTAGGTTGACTTCCAAGATTTTTCATGTTGCTGTTTTCCACTAGAATAGTTTGAAATTTTGGGAAAATGAGCTTCTCACCTTCATCTTTAAATGCAAACATTTTCAAAATTTTCCCTTCACTACTTTTCCAGGAAAACTTTAAAATATGTGTATTCTCAATTAATTCAGTTATTGTAGGTTGAATTTCAAGATTCCTCATGTTGTAATTTTCTACTGGAAAAATTTGAAATTCTAGGAAAATGAGCTTCTCACCTTCCTCTTTACATGCAAAAAGTTTCAAAATCTTCCCTTCACTAGTTTTCCAGGAAATCTTTTAAATCTGTGAGACTGTATTTTCAATTAATTCAGTTATTGTAGGTTGATTTCCAAAATTTTTCATGTTGCTGTTTTCCACTGGAAAAATTTGAAATTTTGGGAAAATGAGCTTCTAACCTTCCTTTTTACATGCAAAAAATTTCAAAATTTTCCCTTCACTAGTTTTCCAGGAAAACTTTGAAATGTGTGAGATTGTATTTTCAACTAATTCAGTTTATGTAGGTTGATTTCCAAGATTCTCCATGTTGTAATTTTCTACTGGAAAAATTTTGAATTTTGGAAAAATGTGCTTCTCACCTTCCTCTTTACATGCAAAAAATTTCAAAATTTTCCCTTCACTAGTTTTCCAGGAAAACTTTGAAATGTGTGAGACTGTATTTTCAACTAATTCAGTTTATGTAGGTTGATTTCCAAGATTTTTCATGTTGTTATTTTCCACTGGAAAAATTTGAAATTTTGGGAAAATGAGCTTTTCACGTTCCTCTTTACATACAAAAAGTTTCAAATTTCTCTCTTCACTAGTTTTCCAGGAAAACTTTGAAATGTGTGAGACTGTATTTTCAACTAATTCAGTTTATGTAGGTTGATTTCCAAGATTCTCCATGTTGTAATTTTCTACTGGAAAAATTTTAAATTTTGGAAAAATGTGCTTCTCTCCTTCCTCTTTACATGCAAAATGTTTCAAAATTTTCCCTTCACTAGTTTTCCAGGAAATCTTTGAAATGTGTGAGACTGTATTTTCAATTAATTCAGTTATTGTAGGTTGATTTCCAAGATTTTTCATGTTGCTGTTTTCTACTGGAAAAATTTGAAATTTTGGGTTAATAAGCTTCTCATCTTCCTCTTTACATGCAAAAAGTGACAAATTTTTCTCTTCTCTAGTTTTTCAGGAAAACTTTGAAATGTATGAGACTGTATTTTCAACTAATTCAGTTTATGTAGGTTGATTTCCAAGATTTTTCATGTTGCTGTTTTCCACTGGAAAAATTTGAAATTTTGGGAAAATGTGCTTTTCACCTTCCTCTTTACATACAAAAAGTTTCAAAAATTTCCCTTTTTTTAGAGGAATTTGTGGGGTATTTGGAGAAGTTCGTGGTGTGGTATTTGGAGGAATTTGTGATGGGATATCTGGAGGAATTTGGAGGAATTTGTAGGAATTTTGAGGAATTATGCGTTAAAAATTCCCCTTTGAGGAATTGTTTGCACCAATTCTGGCATGGTGGTTTGCCCCTTGTAATTTACTTAAAATATTGACAGCTCTGATTCTCAATAAGATTATTGTTGATGATGAAAATTTTTGATCAAAATTCAACTTCGAAGCTCAATGCATAATTGATTTGCTGATAAATTTCAATGTTCAATTGTTGATTATTCCACGCTCTTGTTTCAAATTAAAATACCTAAGAATAATCACTCAATTAAAATCCGAATTCGTAGTGCATGAATCAGAGCGAAAACGGTTTATTTTTCGACTGAAATTGCAAACTTTGAACTGAAAACGAAGTCCGAATATAAATAATAAAACAGCCTTTGAACTGCAAACTTACTCAAAAAGGCATTAAAAACATTATTCATTATTCAACGCTGCTATGCAATTTCTAGTAAGTAGCTTTTCTATTTTCACTGCAACAAATTCAAATGGAATGCTTACAGACATCAAATTTTCTATAACAAATTACTATAGAGCAAAATTGAACCTAAACAAACAAAACCTTCATGTGCTAGCATAGGATTTCTGATTAATTTAACCACGTGTGCTCGATTCATGGTTAGGATTATATTACGGATTTATCGCTAAATTACCTTTTTGTTCCGACACGTATCTCCTACTTTTTTTTTGGAAAAAAAAATCAATCTATTTAAACTTTTCTCATTAAATTCCCAGGGGATGCAAGAGGCTTTACAAGACACGTGCATATTGTGTGCCAGCAGAGAGTATTTCCTGGGAAACTATTTAGATCGAGTTAATACCTAATTGGTTTGTTACGACAGTTTGGCATGTTGGAGAGGAAACTCCTATTTTCTGGAAATTGAGCTTTTGAATAACATTTTTTGTTGTTTGTAAATTTCACATTAAATTTGTCAGTTGTTGTTGTTGGGAGTTTTTGTTTTTGTAAAAAGTTTCTATTTCTATAGCACATAGAGGCTCTATGTGGTAATAGTTTCTGTCTCTATAATTTTGCAATGGAAACTACTTACTTCAATTGTTATTTACATGCATTGATTTTTGTTCTTTTGAGATTTAGCTGAGCTACACCTAATCCTTTTGAAGAAATATTGTTGGGGTGTAGTCAATAAAATGAGTGAAAAGGCAGAATTAAAAATTATGTAGTTGGAACTTGTATTTCGATAAATAAGTTTTTCATAGTGAGTAACATACACAGTTGTATCCTAATTTTCATTCTGGAAGCTAAATAATTAGGGACTTTTGAAGCTAAAGATTTCTACCTTTCCTTGTATTCTGTATAGGACTGAAAAGTTTATGGAGAGTTAAATGGACTATTTAGATGAAAAGGAAACAAAAATGTGGAAGTTACAGTGCAATTTTCGTTAATTAATCAACTGTGTTCCTAATTACTTTTTCGCTGTTAGATAATGTACTTAAGTCCCTCGCTGTAATAGACAGTTAAACTAAAAAAACTCTGTCATGCAAATAGGAGCCTCTATTAATAATTCATAAAGGCGCATACAATTTGCATTTAGGTAAGCCGGCTCCAACGAAAAACGTCCTCTCAAAATTCGTTTTCTGGTTATTCTGTGAATAATGCATGGGACATTTTGAGAAAGAAAACGTCCAATTGGTTCGATGAAAATACGTTTATGAAAGGATATAGGTATGTATGATTGTAAAATAAATTATTGTTAAATTTTAAATACATAATTAGTACCACTCAGAAAAATGGAATTATTAATAAATCACCCCAAATTGCTTAGCACGATTTTATTTGTGAAACTATACGTCCGAATGAGCTGAAATTTTCAGGAATTGTAGTCCTCCACTGGAATAAGAATCGGTACCTACTTACCTAATACCTAAAAATTTTGAATAAATGTCCTAAATGAATCTTTTACGTGAATTTGATGTTCGAAATGCAATTTTGCAGGCAGTTTCTCTTGGTATTTCAATAGAAGCATCCATAAAAGCGGTTTTAAATACAATTTTGAACCAAAAAAAAATAAGACCTTTACGAAGATAGTTTCCTAGGAAATAATCCAATCCAATTCTCCAAAAATATAACTGGCAATAAATAAACTTTATGCCCTGTTATGAAACTTCTTTTTCTGTTCTTATTCCGCTTTAATAGAGGTTTATTGAATTTTTATTGTGCCGCAGAGGAAATAATATAAGATATTGGAATGTGTCTGATGAAAAATAAATTTGGTTTTGAAACTTGGGCGTGTATAAACAAACTAAGGTATATTGAAGTGGAACTTCTTCAAATCCACAAACATATACGAGGAAAAGGGTTAAGGAACTGGTTTAAATTAATAATGATATAATGGCTCAAGCGATCCCTACTACTAAAGAAGTCAAGACATCAAATTCTCTAAAGTTTTGAGACTTTAAAACAAGAAATATCTTGAATTTTATAAAATTGTAAAAAGTCATGATTTTGAAGATCTGTGAAACAAAATTCATTGCTCGAATCTGGATGCTCATACAAGAGTTTAAATTCTAAAGACTCTGAAGTCTCACAACCCAAAAATGAAAAATCAAGACTGGGATGAAAGGTCAAGACATCAAGTTCTGTGAAGTTTTGAGACTTTGAAACAAGAATTTTCTTGAGTCTTGTAAAACTGTGTGTAATGACCCGGGAAAATAGACCCGTAATTTACAATGTCTTAACTGTAAAAATTAAATGTAATCAAATAATCAAAAACTGAATTTCCTGTATTTCAAATCAGTATCAATAAACTGAAAATGAAACAAATTAGCGTTGACCCCAAATTGATTAAAATATTAATATACGGTAAAATTTTATTATATGTAGTCATCAAGCGTGATGTCATCACCAAAATCAAATTATTGAAAGCGAGGCCAAAGTAATTAAATAGGTGATTTATGGCCGCACGTGTTGTCAGTTTTCTTTGAATTATATGTCCTCACATTCTTAAACCAAATCTGTTGACCCCGATAAACCCGGAAATTGCGACATAATTATTTGCTTTAAAACAAATAAAAAAGGAAGGTTGATGAATGATGAAATTAGGAATTTTGGGGGGACGAAACATATAAATACAGCGGTTTTAGAAGTCTTGAGATCAGTTGAAGCTATTAGTACATGAAGGTGTTAACTCAATTTTTAGTTGAAATCCCGAAAATTGGTATGTCTGTATGAAGGTGTTAATTAATTCTTTGCGTTAGTAAAGACTTTGGATCATAGGTGTCGCCAGGTACCTTTAAAACTAAAGCTTAAATCGCGTTAACTCAAGTTTTGTCGAAATTATTTGGAGCAAGAAGGTGTTAACTGTTTAAAATTGTGCAAGAAGGAGTTAATTACTGATTTAAAAATACAAAAAAAAAACATAAAAAATTATAAAAACTGACCCGTGATATTAAATTTATATTTCTTGTCTGTGTTTTGACGCATCTTGATTTTGATTTTAATTTAAACAGAAAAAGCTCCAACAATTTTACTTTAACCCTAAATATTTCAAAATTATTAAAAAGTGACTTAACACCTTCATGCACTAACAGCTTCAGTTGTAAGTTCAGTCCAGTTTGAGTTAAAGTCTATATTACCTAATGAGTCAGTCCGGATAAAAATTCGCGAAGAGTTTCTTTTATTTTTGCCTCGGGGAAAACTTGTTTGATTGGATCTTTGAAAAAGTAACGAAAAATTGTGAAAGAAAGAACATTTTAATTCGTTCCAACATTATGTGCGAGCTCTAGCTGAATTTTGAGTAAATTAATTAAGTATTTTATCGAGTGACAATTTAAATGTAAGTACTCTAGTGACTATTATTGTATTTTTTTTACTTTATAAATGATTCGGAATGATAAGAAGTGAATTGACATTAAAACTTTAATGCATAAAAACTTGAGTGAATTGACTGTAAAAACTTTATTACATAACTTCGATTGCCTTCGAGTATAATGACATTTTTGAGTGATTTGACTGTAAAAACTTTATTGCATAACTTCAATTGCCTTCGAGGATAATGACATTTTAATTTAATTTTGTAAAGAATTAACAAAGGGAAATTATAATGCTCTTAACAATATACGATTTTGAGTAGGGATTATTAATTAAATAATTGTGTTTATTGGCTAGGAATCCGAGTATAGTAATTGCTCTGTTCAAATTGATCCTTACTAAAACAATTAAATGAAATAGGAATTTTTGAAAAGAAACTTGTTGTTCATGAAATGAGATTATTGTCGTTAATCATTAAAAGTAATGGAAAATTTAGTTTAAAAACTGTTGTTTTTCATGAAATAAGATTGGTGTTTTTAATCAAAAAGTATTGGAAAGTTTTGTTTGAAAATTGTTGTTCATGAAATAATATTGTTGACCTTAAGTGCTGAAGTTTTGATTTAGGGTTTTTCGTTTAGAAATTATTGTATGGTTTTTATAAAAATATAGTTGGTAATACATATATAATTAATCCAGTGAGTCGGATTATGACTTAAATAATTATTTTGCATAAGCAGTCAGTAAGTGACTTATAGGAGTTTTAAGAATTTAATATAGATATAGGTGAAGGGTAGTTTTAATAGGAATGTGAATCGGAAGTGTTTTAATGTATAAATTAAGAAAAGAAGAAGTAAGGCGTTTTTTTTTTTGTATGGATATTTCCTGGTCCGTAGTAATAAAATTTGAACGGATGTGAAATAATTTGAATTGGGAAAAATAGAAGTGGCTGTCAGACATAGAAAGATATTTGCTTATTTTAATTTTGGTTTTAAGTATAATAAAATATAATTTAGTAAACCTCAATAGTTTGTTTCTCTCTTTTGCGAATAGACCTCCTCCACAATTTTATAGGTAGCCGCTCAAGGAAATTATAAACACCATCAATATACCGCTCGCCATTTACCATCTAACTAATTACATAGAGTACTTGGGCGCGTTTTGCTACATGTGAAAAGTCATGATTCTGAAGATCTGTAAACCAAAATTCATTGCTCGAGTCTCTGGATGCTCATACAAGACTTTAAATTCTAAAGACTCTAAAGTCTCACAATTCAAAATTGAAGAATCAAGACTTGGCTGATGAGTCAAGAGATCAAATTCTCTAAAGTTTTTAGACTTTGAAACAAGAATTTTCTTGAATATTGTAAAACTGTATGAAGTCATGATTCTGAAGATTTGTGAACCAAAATTCATTGCTCGAATTTGGACACTCATACAAGATTTTAAATTCTAAAGACTCTGAAGTCTCACAACTCAAAAATGAAGAATCAATAACACTGAGCTGAGGGGTCAAGCTATCAAATTCTTTGAGGTTTTGAGACTTTGAAACAAGAATTTTCTTGAATCTTGTAAAACTGTAAAATTTCATTATTCTGAAGATCTGTGAACCAAAATTCATTGCTCGAGTCACGATGTTCATACAAGACTTTAAATTCTAAAGACTGAAGTCTCACAACTCAAAAATGAAGAATCAAGACTGGACTAGTGACTACTTGACTTTGTGGCAGTAGAAGGGAGTGCCTAACGTTGCATGTTTTCGTTACATGTCAACTCATATGAAACTTTCTTACCCAAGAAAATTCATTCCAAAAATAAGTGCAGTTTCAATAAAATGTTTCAAAAAAGTGCCTATATACCTTGCGATTTACATTGCCCCAGCAGCACACAGAAGTTTTTAATTGTTCTCATTGTCCTGTGGCGAGTGTCCCAATCAGACTCAAAATACCCCGAGGAACATTTTCAAATAATTCAAATCGCCTGAAAAACTACAAAATTTTGCGAAAAACCGAGTAGAAACATGAACATAAACTTGTGTCGACAAGATGGTCGCCAGTTCGTACAAAGCCTACTTGACACGTAGACATGCGCAAAATAAGCCAACAAGACATAAACCTACAAAACTGGCGCCATCTATCCACATAATTGCAAACTACTGTAAGGGGCCCGATTTTTCTTTTAAATATGTATTATTTTAATAAAATGGTATTATTTTAATAAAAATAAGTATGGTTTCATGTCAAGACTAATAGTTTCCAATGAAATGGTACTAAAAAAGTGCCTACCTTGCGATCCACATTGCCCCAAGCAATGCATAAAGTTTATAAGTCCAAAACTACATAATTTTTCTCATTGACCTGTAGCGAACGATCCAATCAGATTCAAAAAACCTCGAAGAACACTTTCAAACATGTTTTCGCACTAAAATCGCCCAAAAAACTACGAAATTTTGCGAAAAACTAATGAGCCAAAACGACATGAAATTGTTGACAAAATGGCGCAAGATGGCCGCCAGTTAAAGGAGATCATTATTTACAAGACCTACTTTGATTCAAACTCAGGCAAGCGCAAAGCAAGTTAACGATTATATTAATATAATTTTCATTGTAGAATAAATATAAATAAACTAATTAACTAAATCCTGGCATGGTTTTGTTTCAATTATTATTAATATGACGCTTTATTTGAAAGTGAAAATTCCCAACAAAGCTAGCGCCATCTATCCACATAGTTGCAAACTAGATTTTTTTTGCAAAAATAATAATTTATTTATAAACAATTAAACTATAATCTGAAAATTACATAGATTTAGTCAAAAATACAGACGACTGCTTAATATAGGCATCCAATTTCGTTTTAAATAATTCAGATTGGATTGGTTCATTTAAATTGCACATAGGATTCTTCACTACATATTCTACGTAAATCTAAAATAAAACATTGAAAATAATTAATTTAAATAAAACTGTTATTTACCTCTTTATAAATCTGTTGTAGTAAATCCCTAACGCCTTGAGAATGATTATCAGTATTCAAAACAAACTTCAACCCAGAAGGAGTTTCCAAAAAATGCAAAGTGTACTTTGAAGTTTTATAAAAGAGAAACCCCTCTTTTGGGTCTGTGGGCGATATTTTATTCACAAAAGATTTGATTGAAAATAACATTCCATACATTAATTTGGCTTCCTAAAATCAAAGTTTCATATTTGAGGACAATTTTTAATTATTATTACCTCGTCACGAGTCATTCCAGAATGTTTCAATCTGTTCCATTCTTGATAAAACAACAAGCTACCCATTCTATCAAATATATAAATATTATAAACAGTCATTTTTAATTATTAATTAATAATTATGTTGAAATTACAACTAATAGTTTGTTTATGTTTATCGATTTAAATTAGAAAAATGTCAAATGAAAATGAAGGAAAACTGTGGCGTCATCTATTATTAGCAATACAAAGCATAATTGTTCTCTTTTTATTTTAGCATAAAAAAGAGATAGAAGCTGTTCTGTTACAGAATTTCTTTGACATTTGACAATCAGTTGAGGTTATGATGTGTTATTTTATTTACATTTTTGTCACCTAGTAAATAAAAAAGAAAACAATTAAAATAATAATGCAAAAAATGAAATCGAAAACGAAAAAGGACTTGATTAAAAATCACAGAAAGCGGAAGCACAGTACCAGTTCGGATAGTTCGTCCAGTTCGGATTCGGAGAGCGATTCTTGTACGAGCACTTCGAGCAGTAGCTCAGAGGAAGGGTTCAGAAAGAGGAAAAGGACGAAAAGATCGAAGAATCGTAAGCGGAGCTCTTCTGAGTCTACTAGGTCGTCTAGTTGCACCAGCTTGTCTAGCTCAGAAAGCAGTACCAGGTAATTTAGGTTTTTATGTAACCAGTTATACACATCTGGGAACAATGGAAATTTTGTATTTTATAATTTTGTAGTATTTTTATAGGTGGTTAAGTAAAGTAGTTATTATGCTAAATTTGACCTTTTTTAGATGCTATTTGTCATTATATTTTGGTATTTTTACTTTGGTAGTGATTTCTTTTTTTTTTTTGTATAAGTCCAAATGAGTTGAAATTTTCAGGGATTGTAGTCCTCCCTTAGGATAAGAATCGCTGAAAATTTCAGCTTTCTATCTGCAATAGAATTTGAGATATGAATGTCAAGAAATTGAAAAATTTATCCCACATTGTTTAAGGCGATTGATACTGTAAGTAGGTACTTATAAGTCCAAACCAAATGAGTTAAAATTTTCAAGGATTGTAGTCCTTCTTTGGGATAAAAGATGCTGAAAATTTCAGCTCTGTGTCTATAATAAAATTGGACATATGGACTTCAGAATATTGAAGAATTGAAAAATTCATCCCACATTGCTTATTGCAATTTTATCTTTGGAACTGTAAATCCAAATGAGCTGAAATTTTCAGGGATTGTAGTCCTCTACTGAGATAAGAATCGCTGAAAATTTCAGCTGTCTATCTTTAATAGAAAAAAAGTTATGACCTTCCAAAGTTTTCTAAAATCCGAGGGGCTTTTCACCTACCAAAATTTGTACACCGATTTCAATTTTTCTTAATATTCACGGTATTTCCATGTATTTTCGAGTATTTCTAAGTATTTCCAAGTATTCCCTAGTATTTCCAAGTACTTCCGAGTATTTTTTAGTATTTATAAGTATTTTCAAGTATTTCCAAGTATTTTTCTATTGCACTTTGTAAAGCTGATGAGTAGCAAAGAACATTTTTGGTATTTGTGTACAAAAAGAAAAATTCTGCATGAAGTCAATAAACACACTAATAGGGTATCAAATTTTTGGGACACTTTTTACAAACAATAAAACATTTTTTTTTCTGCATAGGTAATATATTAGAAATAAATCTAGTTTTTACAAGAGAAACCTGTTTTCAGACCAATTTAATAACTTCAAATGAAAGATCACATGGTATTTTTTCAACAGTGTCATTTCTTATCGAGGTGTAAGTCACCCTTAAAATTGTGTACAATAAATTACCACTTTCTTCAAAAAATACCAATAATTACCAAAAAAACATAACCAAAAATACTAATAAATACCAAAAAAAGTCCAATACCAATAATTAGCAAAAAAATACCAGTAGTTGCCAAATAATACCAAAAAATACCAATAATTACCAAAACAATATTAATAATTACCAAATCAATTACCAAGAAATACCAATAATTACCAAAAAGCTAAGGATTCATGAATCTAAGAAGCTTCTGCTGTTGCATACTTCTCGGTATACTCTGAGTGGGGCCTGACAATTGCATTATAGAGTTTTATAATTATGCGAGTAATTATGCTTAGGTTTCTAAAGTTCCTCGAGTCATGAATTCCAAAACGCAGTTTCTTGTAAGCTTTATAAACTGTTTAGCCTAATTAATTTATTATTAATAAGTCAATGGAGATAGTTTCTGAAATAATACACCAATTTTGAAAAGCAGTCTTTATTCTTTCAAAGCGATGATAGTACCTAATCATTAAAAATAAATATTATTGCATTGTAGACACGGACTAAAAAATCGAAAGTACTTGAAATAGCTGTTACAAAGAAGATTGAACATGGCCTTATTTTCTGCTTTCCCTGTATTTTTCAAAGAACTAAAATAGCGATTTGGTGTATTTTTTATTTCTCAAGATTTTTTGAAACTAATTTGCATTTATACAGGGCAGTACCAAAAATACAGAGTACAGAGAGTTCAAAATAAATAAGGCCCCGTAAAAACACCCTCTGTATCTTCTCTGTGCCGAGTATCCGTACAGAGAAGGACTGCTTGCACAAAAGCCTTCTGGGTAATAAAATAAATGGTGTCATATGTTGCCGCGCAGGCGCACTGTGTTCCGGCCATGATAAATACCAATTAAATACCTATTAAATACCAAATATTACCAAAAAAATTACCATAATTACCAAGTATTAGCAGAAGTACCACAAAAAATACCATAATTACCAAAAAAAAATACCAAAAATACCTATAAATACCAATAATTACCAAGTGCTTGTACAATAAAATACCAAGGTGACTTACCCCTCGTTTCTTATTAGCTCGCGGAGGATAAGCAAAACTCTCCTATAGATTTGTCTACAACTGCACATGCATGTTGACGCTACTTTGGAAAGACCACACAAATGGACCAGCAATTCGACAACAAAAAATATTTAAAGGACCCCGCACACTTCTTATGGGATTTCTGACCGCGGTCCTGGATTAAGTCCTTACGATGTATTTGGGCGTTTATTTCCAAGAAATGTACACCTTTTTTATGCATTTACACTATCCACTGAGCGTCAGGATACCTGTCCATCCTGGTATATTATCAGCTGACAGGTACAGGTGTAGCCGTGAGCATAAAAAGTGGGACGCCTGACTGACAGGTCTTGTCATTTTTCGCTATTTTGGGTAATACAGTCTTTTCTCTACAATGGATTACAGTGGCTAAATAAACCTTTACATACAGTGGCGACAATAGAGTTCCCGCCGCCATCTTGTTCCCAACCTCTTGTTACTTTCAAATATTAATATATAAGATTTAAATAGACATCTATCATAAAAAATTAAAATCGGCATATTTGATGACCATTATTAGGTTCATCAAATACGTTGTTTTCTATGTTTTATGATGGATGTTCACCTAAATCCTATATATTCATATTTAAAAGTAACAAGAGGTTGGGAACAAGATGGCGGCATTTTCAATATAAACATATGGGATTTTTGAACCAATCAAAAATGAGACCGCAATTGTCGCCACTGTGGTAATAAAGTCACTGTACAATGGATTTGTTGTCAAATATGACAATCCCTGTCATTGCCGTAGGTATAGCTGATAAGCTCGTTTTACAATAGGAAAAAACGGGTCTCCCACTTTTTATGCTCACAACTGTATTATCCGTTCACAATACGATGTCCATAGGTACAGGGTACAGGTATAATTTATCATAGGGAAAAGGTGATACATTTACCTGCACCTGTGGACATCGGATTGTGAACAGGATATAGATGTAAATGTGTACTTCTCTTGAACAATAAACTACCCGAGAAACTACCTGTATCTCAAAAACTAGTCATAGGATTAAATTGTGCCCATGATAGTCATTGATCAGAAAGGTGAGATCTATAACATACTAAAATTTGGTTGAATTTGACCGTGATCAAAAATCCCATAAGAAGTGTGTGGGGTCCTTTCAAACTATTTTTAATACACTTGGAAACAATTTTCTACACAACAAGGAATTTTTTTTGCCAAACATAAATAAGATAAAAATGGCACTTAAAATATATACAGGGTGTCCCAAATTCAAGCAGTATCATTATGATATTGGAAACGGTAAGAAGAGATACAGGGTCGGTTGAATGGCAGTTTCGCAGTTTTATGCTTCACAAAATACCGTTTTGAAAATTTTAAAATTCTGAATAGTTGCGACATGTCATAGGTTTTGGGACATTAGAAGCTCTTGAAATCTGAAATAAAAAATGCAGAGTCATATTTAAAAAAATAAAGTTGATGATGGTGGCCCAAAGACAAAACGTCGGATTTTAAATTTGATGGTAGCATCTTGTGGAGGAGAAAAAGTGCCAATGATAGAGTGACATTTATTTGGGATATTCAAATAAGCTCAGAAAAAAATAAAATTTCGGATAATTCCCAATATTTCCGGAACTATTCGGAATTTTTAAATTTTGTCATAATTAAACCAACTCTGTATCTCTTACCATTTCCAATATCCCGATGATACTGCTCAAATTTGGACACCCTATACAAACTTAAGTGCCTTTCAATAAGTTCTCACTAAGGTTCTCACAATCAAATGAAACTCGAAATAAAACTAACTTCTAACTTGGATTGTAAAAATTCAAAAAAAGTTATCTATGAGAAAAAGCAGCACTCAGGAAGCTCATAAACATACTGTTTTCTCACATCATTTGGCACATATTACCAAGTATTTCAAAGTATTTCAAGGTATTCCCCAAGGTATTACCAAGTATTTCTAGGTATTTCTCAGTATTTCTAGGTATTTCCAAAGTATTTTTAGGTTTATTCAAATATTCCTAGCTATTTCCAAGTCTTTCTAGGAATTTGTACAGTGATTTCCTTGGGTGAAAAGCCCCTCGCTAAAATCTAAATCATAAGGTAGCTACCTTCTTACTAAAACGATGAAATTTCATTTTTTTTGTTGTTGAGATTTTGTGTCCTAATGGTCATTTGGGATCCCTTAAACTCCATCCTCCAAATTATTCTCAGATTTGAAGCCAAAATCTATGAAAAAAGGCAAAATAACCCCAAATTGCTTAACACGATTTTATCTCAGGAACTATAAGTCCAAATGAGCTTAAATTTCCAAGGTTTGTAGTTCTCTACTAAGGGAAGAATTGCTGGAAATTTCAGCTTTCTTTCTATAATAAAACTTGAGATATGAACGTCAGGAAATTGAAAAATTCTATTTTATAAATATACAAATACATAATACTTAATTAAAAATTATTCTAGTTCTAGTTCATATTCGAGCAGTTGCAGTAGCAGTTCCACATCATCCTCGGACGACAACAAAAAACGCAAAAAGAAAAACCGCGAAATAATCAAGCAAAAGCTGAAAGAGAAAAAACGAATCATGAAGCGAATAATGCACGACAAAAAGAAGAAAATGGAAAAATCCGAAAAGAAAAAACTAGTGGAAAATGGCAAGAAGAAACCCAAGCCCAAGAGCCATAAAGAAGAAGAAATTAGCAACGATATTCCTATTGAATTGATGGATAAAAGGAAGGTTATGGCACCCATGCGGAAGGAGGAATGGGACACGAAGCAGAGCGTTGTTAGGAGGGTTTATGATGAAGCAACTGGAAGGCATAGGTAAAAATAATTCAAATTTTAAATATATGTAATTGAAAAATTCTTTATTTAAGATTGATTAAAGGCGATGGAGAAGTTATAGAAGAAATAGTCAGCAAAGACAGGCATAAAGAAATTAATAAACAAGCTACTAAGGGTGATGGGGAATATTTCCGTAATAAAGTAATTCAGAAGGCAAAGTAACTGCCTACTAGGGAATATTTGCATATTATTTTCGCAGAAGAAAAAAAGTGACTTTTTGCTGGCAAACTACTTCATCATGGTCAGAAAGTTTGTATAGATTAGATATAATTATTATTGCACATATTTTATAAGTGTAGCCACATATTTAGATTAATTGGAAGAAATTGCTGTAGAAAAGTGTCTGCTTTTCTATAATTCAAATAAATATTGGGCAAAAATGATTGAAATTCATTAGGAATTCAATCTTTTTGAGAAAAAATTGTCCAATGAAATGTGTTCAACATTTTATCAAATATGTTTTTTCTAATCATGTGTTATGTTACTTTTCCCATATAATTTTCAATATAAATATAACAATGATTAGAAAAAGTATAGGGTTTTACTTTTTAACTAGTGACAATTATTGGCAACTAAGATATTATTTTAATTTTAATTTTTAATTGAAACTTTATACAATTTTAAATGTAGGTATACCAATTTTTTAGTGTTTAGGCAAAAAGAATTGTAGCTTGTAAATATTATAATTATACAATATTTTTATTGGTGTATTTAAATAATTGTCGTTTAATAAAAATTATTCTCATCACAATAAAATTTTTGAGAGTTTATTGATTGAATGACTACTATTGTCTGATTAAAATGGTGAATTTTCTAGGATGCAAAAATAATCCATACAAAGTAGTAAGTATTAAATCATTATTGGACAATATGTAAGATAATGTTTTTCTACAACTAGTAGCTGTTAGAGGAATCTGAATACACATTTAAATGAACTCAAAGATACTTCAAAATTTAAGACTTGGATGTAATAAAGCTAATACAACTTTCAATCAAACTCTTTTAATTCCAAACACACAATAATACATAATTACTCTTTATCTACAAACACATTTTCCCCCCTTTTTGTAGCTGCATTATTATATTCAATTTCCAATGATGTGTGTGGGGCGAGGAGACTCCTTGACATTTCGTGTTTGCATGTGCTCGTGTTCAGTTTGGGGTCAGCGGTTGGCCATGTAGTGTATAATATGAATATATATTTTTAAACAATATTCGTTTTACATGTGACTGATAGTGATATCCGTGCAATTTTTGTTGTTATTTTTTGTGTTAAATGGGTTTTTATTGATAATTATTGTATTGTGAAATAATAGGCTTCGAGATTTTTGAAAAAAAAATTAGTGTAGATGTTGAATTGAGTAGTTTTGAATTCAAAGGGTAAAGATTTTTGAGCTTTTTGAAAGAAGCTTTTTAATTATCATATTAATTAGTTACTTAAGTTGTGATTTTTTTATGAATTCCTTGTATGGTTTCACCTCCAAACCTTTCTACTACAACTTCCCCTTTTGCTTTTTGGAAACAAATCATTGCAAGCTTCTCTTTATGGTGTTTCAAAATCTTCAAATTCATCAAGATCTACAATAAAATAATAATCTCAGTTTTTTGTGGATTTCTGTTTTTCTTCTATATCTGAGAACCTTAAGAAACCTATATTGGAATCTAAAGTTTTCCTTTTGAAGTCTAATCTTTATTATCACAATTTTCAAATTCTAGTAAACATATGCCTATTTACGTAAAGTTTATATAAATTTGAGATAATTTTTTTACCAGCAATAGTTTCATGTCACAAGTTTATATAAATTATATCTGTTTGCAAAACTTTGTTTCATAATACGGTTTATATGTATAAGGTCTGTTTCTGCAAAAATCACAAACCAGTCAGAGCGAATTTCATTGGTTGAAAACAGTCAGAAAACTAGTTTCAACCAATTAAATTTACTCTGACTGGTTTGTTATTTCTACAGAATGTGATTGTGACATAAATTTTACTTCTACTTGAGCATGACGCATTATGCGTTACATTTAAGTTGAATTTTACCTTAATGTGACTTGAAAAAAACTTAGAAATTAAATAGTGAGAAGGTAGGTAGTTCACTCTTTAATAAGTTGCTGAAGCAATAAGATATCTATGGTACCTACCTTTCTCCTAATTATAAAAACTTATTTTTTTTATTTTTCAGTTTTCTTCAATTTTGACTATACGAACTCTGACATCATTTCCAAATGGCCATTTTCTGCAGAAACAAAAATAAAAAGAAATCTTATTTTTGTCTCTGAAACATTTTCAAAATTTTGACATGGTCATGAATAATTGTCAATATTTTTGTTGAAATTTAGGCAAGTTCAAATAAATTATATATCGTTGGAAAGGGCATTAAATTCTCTATAAATCCGTGTAAAATTGAGTTTGATAGGTTAAATAGTTTCTGAGCAATTGACCATCAAAGTTGATTTTTAGTCCAAATTTTGTCAAAAACTTCAAACTCAATTTTCTCAAAAACTATAAATCTGGGAGTATTGTAAGTCACAGGTATTTTAAAGCTTGATAAGAGCTACAAATGTTGAAAATTTCAATGCAATTTGCTCAATGGTTACCAAGCAATTAAGGTTTGAATATTTTGAAATCAGAATTCAAAGAGGATAGATACCTACCCTGCTTATGAAAAACTCGATTTTTTTACTTTTCAGTTTTGCTAAATTTTGACTTCATCAATCGATAGAGCGGGTCAAAATTAGTGGAAAATAACACTGACATCATTATCAAATGGCCATTTTACACAGAAAGAAAATGAAAAGGAAAATCTTATTTTTATTGGCTCTGAAACATTTTCAAAATCTTGACATGGTCATGATCAATTGCCCATATCTTCGTTAAATTTCAAGTAAATTGAGATAAACTATATATCATTGGAAAAAGCATTAAATTCTCTATAAATTCGTGTAAAATTGAGTTCCATTGGCCGAATAGTTTTTGAGTAATTACCCTCAAAGTTGATTTTTAGTCCAAATTTTGTCAAAAACTTCAAACTCAATTTTCTCAAAAACTATAAATCTGAGAGTATTGTAAATTACAGGTATTTTGAAGCTTAATAAGAGCTACAAATGCTGAAAATTTCAATGTAAGTTGCTCAACGGTTACCAAGCAATTGAGGTTTGAATATTTTGGAATCAGAATTCAAAGGGGGTACCCTTATGAAAAACTCGATTTTTTTATTTTTCAGTTTTGCTTAATTTTGACGTCACCAATCGATAGAGCGGGTAAAAATTAGTGGAAAATAACCCTGACATCATTGTCAAATGGTCATTTTATACAGAAACAAAAATAAAAAGGAAATCTTATTTCTGGCTCTGAAACATTTTCATAATCTTGACTTGGTCATGATAAATTGCCCATATCTTTATTAAATTTCAAGTAAATTGAGATAAACTATAATATCACTGGAAAAAGCATTAAATTCTCTATAAATCAATGTAAAATTGAGTTTGATTGCTCGAATAGTTTTTGAGAAATTGACCCTTAAAATTGATTTTTAGTCCAAATTTTGACAAAAACTTCAAACTCAATTTTCTCAAAAACTATAAATCTGGGAGTATTGTAAGTTACAGGTATTTTAAAGCTTAATAAGAGCTTCAAATGCTGAAAATTTCAATGCAATTTGCTCAACAGTTACCGAGCAATTGAGGTTTGAATATTTTGGAATCAGAATTCAAAGGGGGTACCCTTATGAAAAATTCGATTTTTTTATTTTTCAGTTTTGCTCAATTTTGACTTCACTAATCGATAGAGCGGGTCAAAATTAGTAGAAAATAACTTCGACATCATTTACAAATGGCCATTTTATACAGAAACAAAAATAAAAAGGAAATCTTATTTTTAGCTCTGAAACATTTTCAAAATCTTGACTTGGTTATGATAAATTGTCCATATCTTTGTCAAATTTCAAGTAAATTGAGATAAACTATATATCACTGGAAAAAGCATTAAATTCTCTATAAATCCGTGTAAAATTGAGTTTGATTGCCCAAATAGTTTTTGAAAAATTGACCCTCAAAGTTGATTTTTAGTTCAAATTTTGTCAAAAACTTCAAACTCAATTTTCTCAAAAACTATAAATCTGAGAGTATTGTAAATTACAGATATTTTAAAGCTTAATAAGAGCTACAAATGAGCAATTAAGGTTTGAATATTTTGAATTCAGAATTCAAAGAGGGTAGGTACCTACCCTCATCATGAAAAACTCGATTTTTTTATTTTTCAGTTTTGCTCAATTTTGACTTCACCAATCAATAAAGCGGGTCAAAATTAGTGGAAAATAACCCTGACATCATTTTCAAATGGCCATTTTATACAGAAACAAAAATAAAAAGGCAATCTTATTTTTGGCTCTGAAACGTTTTCAAAATCTTGACATGGTCATGAATAATTGTCAATATTTTTGTTGAATTTCCGGCAATTTGAAATAAATTATATACCATTGAAAAAAGCATTAAATTCTCTATAAATTGACGCAAAATTGAGTTCGATGGCTCAAATAGTTTTTGAGCAATTGACCCTCAAACTCTATTTTTAGTCTAAATTTTGTCAAAAATATCAAACTTAATTTTCTCAAAAACTAGAATTGAAAATTACAGGTCTTTTAGAGCCTAATTAGAACTACAATCCCAACCCCATAACAAACCTTATAATCTCATCCGTAACTGAAACATTAATATTTCCACAAGCAAAATTGTATTGACATAGAAAAACAAACAAGTAAAATTTACCACATTACGCCACTGTAGTGTATGTATAATTAGACTAGCCCTCTTTATTATCCATAACTAATTAAAAACCTTGTTTTCTAAAATTAATAACAACAAGTCTGGCTATTTTAAGTTTTTATTGGATAGAGAGGAAATCTTGGCACAACATGCTCAATTATTATATTGATCCAAAAGCAAAATATATTTATTGTTTTCAACAAATAACAAACGAGTGTTAGGTTTTATGATGGATAATTAAAAATACAAGTTGAAGGTTATTCTAATTATATATTGCAAATTTACAGAGAATACTGGTTATTTTTGTGACTATATACATAGATATTATTAAATAATTTTTTTTTAAACAAGTTTTCCGAATAGGTACTTAACTCAATAATTTAAATAATTATTATAATAAATTGATTGAAGTCTATATTGATTATTTTGCCTCAAAAATTCCACCTCAAAGTCCATAAATTTAAAATGAGGCAACCTCGACCGATCCAGAGCCATTTTATAGCAATTACATCGTATGATATTTCAAGGCAAAATAATTGTTTCCGTGTTGAAAATTTACATATGAACAACAAACAACGGATATAATTTGAATCAAAAAATGAATTCTCAAAGAATGTCCCACCGCAAGAGGTCAAATAAATTACAAATTAAATTAATGGAGCATCTTTCTCTGTTGAGGAGATTAATTGAACATAAACGTTTTATATTTATTTTGCAATACATGGGTAAACATAACTCCAACCATAAATTTTTATGTTCATATACAACGTGATAAGAATAATAATTATTATTGGCCCTCGATTTGCTATGGTAGAGGTAGGTACCACATTGAATAAAATAATAAATTGGTTTAGTTGTAGTAGGTACCAACAAGTACCCAGCAGTAATCTGCCTTGACACAGAAAAGTAAGAAACAAGATTTATTACTCTGAATTTCTAGAATTATTGTAAAATAAGGCCTTGAATAGGTATCTACATGATACAAACTTTTAAGCCTCCAATAAACAAAATCTCAATCATAAAGCCTGATTAGCTCAGATTCAAATCCCTTTGAACAAAGATAATAGCAACTTAATCCTCTCATAAATTTTTATTGATTTGCTATCATATTATGAAAATAGATGTTATTAGTTTTTATAAAGCAGCAGTGGCAGGAGCACAAAATATTCTTTGGTACCTACTACCATTGTATAATTTTATGGTACCACCCATGTAAGCAGGTGCTTAAAGTCAACACAGGTAGAATCACGAGCCTTGGCATCACTTCACTAACAATTGCATTTCGTCTTAATTCGGGTACTAAGCATACAGACCTCGTACTGCTTTGAATCATGTGATGGAATAATGAAAAGCGCGAGTTGAAAGAGGTACCTTTTAACAGTTTAACTAGGCGGTTTGTTGGGATAAGGCGTGGTGGAAAAATAGTACTTTTTTTTGTGGGTGGTTTTTTACGGGTAAGTTGTTGAAGCGTGATTGATTTATTTGATTGTTGATTTAATTGCACTTCAATTCATAAAATTGAAATTTTGTTTGGTTTTTTTAAGTTTTTTTTTTGTTAATCATGTGATGCGATAATATCCTTGATAAATTATAATGTGTTTATTCCAGGCTCTCCAATGAATTGTTCTGTTAAGGAGTAGAATTTGTAATTTCTATAAAGATTTTTTCAAGTTACAAATAATAAGGTAAAATTTGACTTAAAATGTCATGCTCAAGTAGATGTAAAATTTATATGACATTATGTAACAAAGTTTTTCATTTTTGGTCCTAAATAATTTTGATCATCCGACACAAAATTGGCCATAACTCAATTAATATTTTACAAATTCTGATGCATATTGATATATTCTTAATCAGAATTAAACGCTCTTTAAGATAAAAATTGAATAATTTATCTAGAAGAGTTTTCAAGATATTGAGCCTCAAAGTTGAAACTTTTGTCTCAAATTGTGGAAAGCTGATTATCTCAAAAACAAAGCCCTAGGGCTGGATGCGCCAACTAACCTTTTTTGAAGCACCAATCGAGATCTACAGTTGAACTGGTTTCCTGGTTCAGTAAATATTCTATAATTATTATAAGTATTCACATAAGATTCACGTTAATATGATATTAAAAACTAAAGTAAATGTGACTCAAAGGACACCTCTCATGAGTATTTGGTTTTGTGTCAAATTCAATGAAATTTTGATAAGTGTTAGAACTTGACTTTCTGATAAAAAGTTCTCATGGGCCGGAACCAATCCTATGATTAGTTTTTGAGATACAGGTACTTTGAATGTCCAAGAAATAAACAGGGTGTTTTTTGACACCCTACCCACAGGCTTTACCTTTACAAGTAGATGAAAGGTGTAAATACAAAAGTTGTACAGTATTGGCTAAATTTTTAGAATCCATGTTCAGAAACAAAAATTGAATGTCAGAAATGTGAAATATTGCAGGCTTTCAGCTTTTTTCAAATCAGATGCGCTATATTTGGTTCTATATTCGTGAAGAGCACAATTTCCCGATTTCAAAACTATATAGTTTGTCTATATTTGGTTGAGCGGTCTCCAACATATTTGGTTCTAAAAATTTAAAAAATACTATCAGAGTACCTCAAATTTTACCTGCAGCTTTCACCTATACAGGTAGAATGATTCACAAAATCAGTGGGATAGTATTTTCACAATTTTTGGAGCCGAATATATAAGAGATTGCTCAATCAAATATAGATCGGGGCATTGTGCTCTTCAAGAATATAGAATGAAATATAGGGCATCCCATTTGAAAAAAGCTAGAAGCATGCAAAATTTCACATTTCTGACATTCAAATTTTGTTTCTGACCATGGTTTCTAAAGATTTAGCCAAAACTGTACAACTTTTATATTTACACCTTTCTTCTACCTGTAAAGGTAAAGGCTGTAGGTGGGGTGTCAATATATAAAAAAACACCCTGTACAAATAAGTGGATTATTGCGGAACTTATGGGTGGACCTCTGTGGGACGAACGCAGCGAGTTCCGCAGCCATCTACTCACCAATATACTGTTGAACTATTCAAATAAGACACTCACCTGAAACGTGTAGTTTTTGAACTAATGAGAAAAAATCATAACTGAATGAATCAGGTTGGTATTGTTCTTGAACAACATATTGGTGAATAGATGGCTGGGTCCACCCATAAGTTCCACAATAATCCACTCGTTTGTACTTGAATAACTAACTAATTCCTGTTGAAAGGCAAATTGACAAAAAGTGGATAATCTTACAAATTTTGACTTTACATAATAAGTTCAAGTACAAATAAGTGGATTATTGCGGAACTTATGGGTGGACCTCTGTGGGACGAGCGCAGCGAGTTCCGCAGCCATCTACTTACCAATACACTGTTCAAGTAAGATATTCACCTGAAACGTGTAGTTTTGAAACTAATGAGAATTACTCACATTTGAGTGAGTCAGCATTACTAATTCCTGTAAAAAGGCAAATTGACAAAAAGTGGATAATCTTGCAAATTCTGACCTAATATAATAAATTATTGTTCAAGTACAGGGTGTTTTTTTTATATATGTTTGCCATCTACTCACCAATATACTGTTGAATTGTTCAAATAAGACACTCACCTGAAACGTGTAGTTTTGGCAGTTTGGCAGATATATTGATCATCTAAGAACACGTAAGTATAAATAAAAATTAACTAGAACATAGAAGAATAGATAATTAGATGTTTCAATTAAACTAATCAAACTGGGTTGGAATGCGAGAATTAATATCCTTATCACTAGTTTTTTTTTGTTGTTGCTGCTAAATTCGAGCAGTGCCCATTGAATAAGGATTACCATACACCTACTGATTTATATACTAGTAATGGGTGAAGTATCAAATTCCGACTTGCGCGACCTAATTTTCTAGCCCATCAAAGAACTTAATGGGCAAAGAACCCCGCAGAAACCTTATGAGAACTGGCCCTCAGTGGAATCTCATGAAATTTTGCATATTGATAGTTCTTGACCTATAGATTAAAAGTGTCCGTGGGCACAAAGTCCTTTTTGAGTTACAGTTGTTTGACGTTGCGTCATAATGTGAAATTGCTCAAACCTTATAGTCTAGTTTTTTCTGTTACTTCGTGAATTTTAGAACATCATAGTATCATTGTAGTATAATACGTTTTAAATTATATGATTCCAGAAGGCCACTTTTAAACCATTGGCGTCTTAAGAGGGGTTAAAAATAATTATAAAATAATAGTTATTTATACACCAAGTGAGTTAAATGAATGTTTACTCATGAGAAGAAAGTTTAATTCAAGAGCCTTAGCGAGTGGGTTGATTTTTTTCGAATGGTGCATACAATGCTTTATTTTCTACTGGATATAATGTTCCTTCATCAATTTAGTATCAAACATGTACCTTTACTACCTGTACTTCTCTCATTATTTACCCATAATTATTTTTAGACCCCTCTTAGGACGTCTATGGTTTAAAAGTCGTCATTTCTGGAATCGAATAATTTGAAACGCATTATACTATAGATATATCGTTCTAAAATTCACGAAGTAACCGAAAAAACTAGACTGTATAAGGTTTGAGCATTTCACATATGACGCGAATTTTTAGAATTTTGTTCCCATGGACACTTTTAATCTATAGGTCAAGAACTATCAATATGCAAAATTTCATGAGATTCCACTGAGGTCCAGCTCTCATAAGGTTTCTGCGGGGTCCTTTGTCAAAATCAAATAGATCTAAGAAACGAAATTCAAACTATTAAAATTCTGTTAGAAAAGTTGGAAGCCTGTGGTGTAAGAGGTATCGTTATTCTTTCATGACCTAATAGCGAGTTATTTGACACACAGGAAACAGTGTATCTGTTTAAATGGAGTTTCCAGCATATACCGCCCAATAACTTGTGGAGTCCCTCAAGGAACAGTTCTTGGACCTCTATTGTTCATTTTGTATGTTAACTGGCTCCTGAGAATGGACACATTGGGCAGGATCGTGAGTTATGCTGATGACACCGCAATATTTTACTGTGTAAAATCCTAGCATATCTGAAGCAGGAAATAGAATAAGATTTTCTAGAAATATCAAATTGGTTTAGTAGAAACAAGCTCTTTCTAAATGTAACAAAAACAATCTCATCTTACATTAGTGACCAACTATCACTGAAAGTCAGTTCATGAAATATCTAAGTGTTACGCTCGATAAACATCTGAAATGGAACTTACATGTCAATGAAACTACAAAAAAAAATACGTATCTTAATACCACGGTTTAAATGTCTTAAATACTTCTTAAATAAAAAACAACTAAAAATTCTTAACTTTTCGTTGGCTCAGTCACTTCTTTCTTATGGGATTGTTGGATAGGGAGGTGTCAGAGATTGTCATATTTCAAGTCTAGAAGTCGTTCAGAAGTGGGTTTTAGAAATAATTTACGATAAAAATATTTTTTTTCCAACTGAACGTCTTTACAAAGAAACTAACATGATGGGACTTGAGACAACTATATATCTTTAACATTTCAATAGCTATTCACATAGAAAAAATTAAAATAAATTACCTCAATCATAAATATCATACTAAATCTCAAAATCAATACATATGTCATTGCACAAAGAAACCAAAAATCCATAGGACAAAGATATTTTCATTATATTGCTGCAAAAGCGTATAATATGCTACCAGCTGAATTAAAGTAAAAAAATTCAAAAAGAATGCGAAAATCTGGATCCAGGAAACAGAGAGAATGGTTTTCCATGATTTGCTACATACTTAGTTAAAATAATATGCATTATAGATATGTAAACTAGATTTCTCAACTCAGTTCTAAAAAATAAATAAATCACGGACAAGACATATTATACCCGGCTAAAGACTACTTAATCACCCAAATATAACACATTTTCCCGATATTGACAAATAAATAAAAAAAATCATTCAATCATATTTCAATTTCAAAAAAAAAGAATTGTATAATATGCGAATGTATATTTAGTGTGTGTGTAATATGTAAGTACAGTTTACCTATGCATGCATATTTTGTGTATATGTATAAGCATAGGTATATCCCTTACAAGCACAAACTTGTGCTTCTGGGTTTTTTGTTTATAATCTCTTCGATGTTTATTTTTTACTGTTACATTGCTACTTTTTTTTTTGAGACTAATAAACTAATTATTATTATTATTATATTGATGAAGAGATGGCTGGAGGTTCATCCTTAAGTTCCGCAACAATCCACTCATTGTACTTGAATAACTGGTCACATTATGTTACTAGTTTAGTAAAGTAACATTACTAATTCCTATTGAAAGGTAAATTGACAAAAAGTGAATAATCATAATCTTACAAATTTTGACTTTATATAATAAGTTATTGTTCAAGTATAAATAAGTGGATTATTGCGGAACTTATGGATGGACCCCTGTAAGTCGAGGGCAGCGAGTTCCGCAGCCATCTTTTCACCAATATACTGTTGAACTGTCCAAATAAGACATTCACCTGAAACGTGTAGTTTTTGAACTAAAGAGAATAACTGTTATTTGAGTGAGTCAGGTTAGTATCGTGATCAAACAACATATTGATAAATAGATGGCTGCGGAACTCGCTGCGCTCGTCCCGCAGAGGTTCACCCATAAGTTCCGCAACAATTCATTCATTTGTACTTGAATAACTTGTCACATTATGTTACTACAGTCTATCTTTTCCCAAGATAGATTTTGACATTGGAAACTTTGAAGCATAAACAATAACGCTTGGCCTTGATTGGTCGCAAAATGCCGTGTCTTTACAGGTTGGAATCACTTTTACAATGCATGTCGTGCAAATGGCATCTTGCGACCAATAAGCGGCATTGTTTATGTAAAAAATACAGTATAGTTTAATTAAGTAACATTACTAATTCTTGTTAAAAGGCAAATTGACAAAAAGTGGATAATCTTACAAATTCTAACTTTATATAATAAGTTATTGTTTAAGTACAAATAAGTGGATTATTGCGGAACTTATGGGTGGACTTCTGCAGGACGAGCGCAGCGAGTTCCGCACTCATCTAGTCACCAATATACTGTTGAACTGTTCAAATAAGACACTCACCTGAAACGTGTAGTTTTTGAACTAATGAGAAAAATTCACAACCGAATGAATCAGATTAGTATTGTACTTGAACAACGAATTGGTGAATAGATGGCTGGGTCCACCCATAAGTTCTACAACAATCCACTCGTTTATACTTGAATAACTTGTCACAATATATTATTAGTTTGGTAAAGTAACATTACTAATTCCTGTTGAAAGGCAAATTAACAAAAATTGGATAATCTTATAAATTTTGACTTTACATAATAAGTTATTGTTCAAGTACAAATAAGTGGATTATTGCGGAATTTATGGGTGGACCTCTGCGGGATGAGCGCAGCGAGTTCCGCAGCCATCTACTCACCAATATACTGCTGAACTGTTCAAGTAAGATATTCACCTGAAACGAGAAATTTTTAAACTAATGAGAATGACTTACATTTAAGTGAGTCAGGTTAGTATCATAATTAAACAACATATTGATAAATAGATGGCTGCGGAACTCGCTGCGCTCGTCCCGCAGAGGTCCACCCACAAGTTCCGCAACACACTCATTTGTACTTGAATATCTTGTTACATTATGTTACTAGTTTAGTAAAGTAACATTACTAATTCCTGTAGAAAGGCAAATTGAAAAAAAGTGGATAATCTTACAAATTCTGACTTAATATAATAAATTATTGTTCAAGTACAGGGTGTTTTTTTATATATGTTTTTTTATATATTAACACCCCACCTACAGCCTTCACTTTTACAAGTAGATGGAAGATGTAAATACAAAAATTGTACAGTAGGTTCTAAAAATTTTAAAAATACTATACGAGAAATCAAGTAGGTACTTCAAATTTTTCCTGCAGCTTTCACCTGCACAGGTAGAATGGTTCACAAAATCAGTAGTAGCATAGTATTTTTACAATTTTTGAAGCCGAATATATGAGAGACTGTTCAATTAAATATGGACAAACTATATATTTCTGGAATCGGGGCATTGTGCTCTTCAAGAATATAGATTGAAATATAAGGCATCCCATTTGAAAAAAGTTGGAAGCATGCAAAATTTCACATTTCTGACTTTCAAATTTTGTTTCTGACCATGGTTTCTAAAAATTCATCCAAAACTGTACAAATTTTGTATTTACACCTTTCTTCTACCTGTAAAGGTAAAAGCTGTAGGTGGGGTGTCAATATATTATATAAAAACACCCTGTACACATTTTATATGCATTTACCGTTGATACAACCTAATTATACTAGGGTCCTTATTCTTGAAACAGGGGAGCAGCGTTCCCAGGAGAACGAGTGTTCTGTCTGTCTCAACGATATGGAAATGATAATATAGATAAGAAAAACGGAACACTCGTTCTCCTGGGAACGCTGCTCCCCTGTTTCAAGAATAAGGTCCCAGGATGGACAGGTATCCTCACTCTCAGGTGATAGTTTTTTTTTTATCAGGGTCCTTATTCTTGAAACAGGGAGCAGCGTTCCCAGGAGAACGAGTGTTCCATTTTTCTCAGTGAAATGCAAATGATAATATAATTAACAACGACAGAACACTCGTTCTCCTGGGAACGCTGCTCCCCTGTTTCAAGAATAAAGACCCAGGAAGATAAGATAAGGTCTAACACATATCAAAATTTCATTGAATTTGACAGAAAACCAAATACCCAAGAGGTGTGCGGGGTCCTTTACGTAAATCTCACATTTCACATAACAACTACGAAAATAATGTCACAGATGTATTTACTAGGTATTAGAAATTTTCAAATCATTATTTGCTCATATATTACTTTGAAAAACAGAAATGAGATTGAAATCAAACACCCTCTGTTCTAATTCCTTATTAAAATCATATGCGGCTAATTACTAAAGCAATTTGCCTAATTAATTTCCCAAAGTCGTTTACACGAAACAATATCGAAATGATAAAATAAACGACCGTTTAGTTCGCCATCAAGCAAATGAAATCTATTCTTGGGACATAAAAGGACTCGTATTGTTTATTTTTAACGCCGATAAAGCATAAACGTTACATAAAATTAATCCACCTCACTAGAGTAATCGATACTTTTAATAGCCCTATACATATGTATTTACTGCGAGGCAATTTCTTGGAAATAAAAGGGTGCTCCTTTTTTTTACAGAAACCACAATGGGGGCGATGTTTCGTAGTGAAAAAATGGCTCTGGCCCAGCTATTTATACAGCCGGAAGCCGCTTATTTTGCTATATCGGAAATGGGCGAAGTTGGTTGCGTACAATTCAGAGACGTAAGAGAATTCAACTAGAAAAATAATTACTTAATATTGGAAATTATTATTGCAGCTCAACAAAGAAATTAACGCCTTTCAAAGGAAATTCGTCAGCGAAGTGAGAAGGTGCGATGAAATGGAAAGAAAACTTAGATTTATTGAATCTGAAGTGAAAAAAGATAACGTTAGAATACCCGATGTCCATGAGCTACCCAAAGCACCAAATCCAAGAGAAATTATCGACTTAGAGGTAAGTAATCACATTTTTTATTATTGTAACTATAATGCAATTTTAGGCTCACTTAGAAAAAACCGAAGGCGACATCAAAGAACTAACAGAAAATTCCGTAAGCTTAAAGTCCAACTACTTGGAACTCATTGAATTGCGTCACGTTCTAGAAAAAACCCAGCAGTTTTTCAACGAAGAAGAATCAATCGGTTATGATTCAGCTCACAAGGTTAAATCCTTCTATAACATAATTGAAAATATTTAATTTAAAAACAGTATCCATTCCAGGCTCTAATTCCAGACGAACAACAACCCAATGTCTCAATCAGAGGCCATCTAGGTTTCGTAGCCGGCGTAATCAACCGAGAAAGAGTACCAGGTTTCGAGCGTATGCTCTGGAGAATTTCCAGAGGCAATGTATTTTTACGACGTGCAGAAATCGAAAAGCCCCTTGAAGATCCTCAAACTGGAAACGAACACTTCAAAACAGTCTTTGTGGCCTTTTTCCAAGGCGAGCAGCTCAAAACTAGAATCAAAAAAGTATGTGCGGGCTTCCACGCTTCTTTATATCCGTGCCCTAACACCCAAAAAGAACGCAACGAGATGTTGCACGGAGTCAAAACACGCTTGGAAGATTTGCAAATGGTCTTGAACCAAACCCAAGACCACAGACAAAGAGTCTTGGTTAGTGTGGCTAAAGAATTACAAAATTGGAGCGTGATGGTTTGTAAAATGAAGGCAATCTATCATACATTGAATTTGTTTAACATGGATGTTACTAAGAAGTGCCTTATCGGTGAATGCTGGGTGTCTTCTCATGACATACCTGTTGTCCAAAAAGCTTTGTCTGATGGATCAACTGCCAGCGGTAGCTCAATTCCTTCATTCCTAAATATCATTGGCACCAATGAAATGCCACCAACTTTCAATAGGACTAATAAATTCACAAGAGGCTTCCAGAATTTAATTGATGTTTATGGTGTTGCTTCTTATAGGGAGTGTAATCCAGGTAAAATTGTGATTTTTGTTGATGTTATTTTTATTAATAATAATTCTTTATAGCTTTGTATACAATCATCACATTTCCGTTTTTGTTTGCTGTAATGTTTGGCGATTGCGGTCACGCGGTTGTAATGGCAGCTTTTGGTTTGTGGATGATCCTTTCCGAAAGGAAAATCGCAGCTCAGAAGGGGAAAAGCGAGATTTTCAATATTTTCTTTGGAGGGCGATACATTATCTTGCTTATGGGCATCTTTTCGTTTTATACAGGGTAAGAATTTTAGAAGGAAATGAACTGCAATACTTTTGCATCATTGTAGAACCCATCATTGTAGAACCTCTTTAAGTCTTTTCCAAATATATTATTTTTGCAATAATTTTGCTTTGCATCATAGTCATGGTTAATAATACTAATGTCCTAATTTCCTACATGTACTTACAATTTTTCCTTATGTTCACTAAATTTAAACTGCAAATTCTCACGTACAAGTAAATTGATGTACCAGGCGCTGAAAAATAAAGTTTAATACTATAGTTTTTTATAATTTAAAGTTTCTCAGGAAAGCAGAAAATGTTTGACAGACTATCAAAGTTCAGTTTGTCCGTGTAAATTGAACTAATTTAGAAAAATAGTCAAAACTCAGATTCTGAGCAAAATATCAGCTTGCGATTTGACATTTTCAATTAAAGAAGTTTCATTTTAAAATTTGAAGTTGCTCAGAAGAGCAGAAAATGTCTTTCCCACTATTTCTAAGAAATACCCCAAATTGCTAAACGCAATTTTATTTCTGGAACTATAAGTCCAAATGGATTGTAGTCCTCTACTAGGATAGGTATCGTTGAAAATTTCACCTATTTATCTTTAATAGTTATGGGTCTTCAAAGTTTTCAAAAATCCAAATCATAAGGTTCTTATACATATACTAAAACGATGAAATTTCAAAAAATTTTATGTCTAAATAATCATTCGGGACTCCCCAAACTCCATACACTAAATTATTCTGAGATTTGGTGCCGAAATCTATGAAAAAAAGACACTCAGAAAAATGAAAAAAATGTTAATATAAGGTCTGTTAGCACAGGATTCACAAACCCAGTTAGAGCGAAATTTATTGGGTGAAAACAGTCAGAAACAATTAGAAAACTAGTTTCAACCAATAAAATTCACTCTGACTGGCTTATGATTTCTATGTGAACAGACCTAAAATTACTTAATGTCTTTCCGGTACTTTATTTATAGGTTCATCTTCAGTTTCAGAAACCTCATGATGTTTCCTGATTGTAATTAGTTAACTAGTATCGCCTCCTGGAAAGTAGAAGATACATTTGCTTGGGAGGGTTCCTGCTAACTTAATTCCATTATTAATAATTTTTCTTTCAGTTTTGTCTATAACGACATCTTTTCAAAATCCGTCAACATATTTGGTTCGGCTTGGAGAATAAACGCGACAACTTTACCACCAAATTTCACTGTACACACAGAAAGTGACCATACTTATGAAGTGCAACTCAATCCTAGAGAGAATTACCTGGGTTCTCCTTATTTCATTGGTTTAGATCCAGCATGGCAGGTAAATAACTATAAATATTCAAAAATAATGTTCCATCAATAAAATCAACTTTCAGGTATCCAAAAACAAGATTATTTTTTTGAACTCATTCAAAATGAAGCTTTCCATTATCATTGCTGTTGTTCATATGATTTTTGGTGTATCAGTGAGCACTTTTAATTTAATGTAAGTATTTATTTTACTGTTCAATACCTACTATAATATTACAAAATATTTCCTATATAGTCACTTTCGCAAATACGCAAGCATTTTCTTGGAATTTCTACCACAAATCTTACTCCTATGCTTCCTCTTTTTGTGGATGGTGGTCATGATTTTCATCAAGTGGATCATGTATGCTGGAACCTTAGACGGAATTGACACGAAACATGGTTCATCATGCGCACCTTCAGTCCTAATCTACTTCATCAACATGATGCTATTTAAAGGTGCCGATAAAACCCATGAAGATTGCGACGCTTACATGTTCGACCTTCAAACCACCGTTGAAAAAATCTTTATTTTTGGAGCTTTACTTTGCATTCCTGTAATGCTTCTAGGCAAACCGATTTATATTATGGTTGGACGTAAAAGTACCAAGAAACATCACGTCAATGTAAGAATTGCATTTGATTCAAATACTTGGATTAAATTGTTTTATTATTAGGGTAAAAGTAATGGAGACATCAACCAAGGTTTGGAAATGAACGAAGTTTCAAATGGTTCAGACGCAACAGTACCAGCCGGACAGGCAGACAACCTGCACCTAGAAGAACATGAAGAACCAATGTCTGAAATTTGGGTGCACCAAGGCATTCACACCATTGAATATGTATTGAGTACCATTTCACATACAGCTTCTTATTTACGTTTATGGGCTTTGTCTTTGGCTCACGCACGTAAGGAACTTTTCAAAATATATTACATTGATTTTTATGTAATTTTTTTTCTAGAACTTTCCGAAGTACTCTGGAGTATGGTCTTCCAAATGGGTCTAACAACAGCAGGTTACATTGGTTGCCTTTTCATTTTCATTTTCTTCGCCGTTTGGGCTGTTTTCACTTTGGCCATTCTGGTGCTGATGGAAGGTTTGTCCGCTTTCTTGCACACGTTGCGTCTTCACTGGGTCGAGTTTATGTCCAAGTTCTACGAAGGTCAAGGTTATCCCTTCGAGCCTTTCAGTTTCAAGAAGATTTTGGATGAAGAAGAAGAAGCTGCAGAGTGAAAACGTCTTTTTATTGTTAATGTATTATTGTTTTATTGTCAGTTTTATTCATTTGAACCTGTAATAGTATTTTTGTAGTTTGAATATATAGTTTTAGATTTGTTGTATTTTAATTTTTGTGTTGAATTTTTGGTCCTTATAGAGTGGGTACAGTCTGAAATCTTGAAGAATGAGGGGTTCCAGGGTTTCTAAGATCTATAAATTGTTCAGCATCAAGACACTTGGAAGTTTTTAAAACTTTTGGAATCATCAACAACTTTACATCTTAGAATTTTGAAAATCTTTATATTTTTTGGCGTTTTATAGAATTGAGATCTTTATTGTCGTTAAAGTTTTGGAATCTCTAAATTTTCTAGCCTTTCCATGGAATCTGCAGAAGATGTCAATCTCAAAGTGGCAGATTTTTCAAAGTCTCCATAGTTTTTAAGATTGAAGTTTTAAATCAGCAGAGTACGTTTTCATACCTTTGATTCTATCTTGAGTAATGAGACTTCAAAGTTTTCAATTTTCGTCACTCATTTCTGATGTAATCTTTAGTATTTTAATCCAGGGGCGCTGTCAGGAGGGATGCTTCAGAGAAAAATGGACCATAGACTCTAACGCAGAAATGTCAGTCAGTTATTTGATCGGATTGTAAAAATCATAGCTCCATTATGTTGGGCTATTTTTCCATAAAATTTTGGTATGTTGAAGCTGAAATCTTCCTCAATAGACAAAAAAATATCTGGTTCCTCTAGGTTTCCCAGATTTTCAGAAAAAAAATCAAAAATTAGACCATTGACTCTAAGGCAGAAATATCACTCAGTGTGTTTTATCGGATTGTAAAAATCGTAATTCCGTTATCCTTGGCTATTTTTTCATAAAATTTCAGTATGTTGAAGCTGAAAGCTTCTTTGATAAATGAAAAAAAATTTAGTTCCTCCAAGCTATCCAGATTTCCAGAAAAAAAATTAATAATTAGACCATTGACTCTAAGGCAGAAATATCAGTCAGTGTGTTTTATCGGATTGTAAAAATCATAGCTCCGTTATCCTTGGCTATTTTTCCATGAAAATTCAGTATGTTGAAGCTGAAAGCTTCCTTAATAAATAAAAAAATATCAGGTTCTTCCAGGTTTACCAGATTTCCAGAAAAAAAATCAAAGATTAGATCGTTAACTCTAAGGCATAAATGTCACCCAGTGTGTTTTATCGGATTGTAAAAATCATAGTTCTGTTATCTTTGGCTATTTTTCCTTGAAATCTTGATAAGTTAAAGCTGAAAGGTTCTTTAATAAATAAAAAATATTTGGTTCCTCCAGATTTTCTAGATTTCCAGAAAAAAGATCAAAAATTAGACCATTGACTCTAAGGCAGAAATATCACTCAGTGTGTTTTATCGGATTGTAAAAATCGTAATTCCGTTATCCTTGGCTATTTTTTCATAAAATTTCAGTATGTTGAAGCTGAAAGCTTCTTTGATAAATGAAAAAATATTTAGTTCCTCCAAGCTTTCCAGATTTCCAGAAAAAAAATTAATAATTAGACCATTGACTCTAAGGCAAAAATGTCACTCAGTGTGTTTTATCGCATTGTAAAAATCATAGCTCCGTTATCTTTGACTATTTTTCCTTGAAATTTTAATAAGTTGAAGCTGTAAGGTTCTTTAATAAATAAAAAATATTTGGTTCCTCCAGATTTTCTAGATTTCTAGAAAATAGATCAAAAATTAGACTATTGACTCTAAGGCAGAAATATCACTCAGTGTGTTTTATCGGATTGTAAAAATCATAGCTTTGTTATCCTTAGCTATTTTTCCATAAAATTTAGGTATGTTGAACCTAAAAGCTTTTTTAATAAATAAAAAAATATTTGGTTCCTCCAAGTTTCCTAGATTTCCAGAAAATATCAAAAATTGGACCATTCACTCTAAGGCAGAAATATCACTCTGTGTGTTTTATCGGATTTTAAAAATCAGAGCTCCGTTATCCTTAGTTATTTTTCCATAAAATTTTGGTATGTTATAGCTGAAAGCTTCTTCAATAAATAAAAAACTATCTGGTTCCTTCAGGTTTCCCGGATTTCCAGAAAAAAAATCAAAAATTAGGCCATTGACTCTAAGGCAGAAATATCACTCAGTGTGTTTTATCGGATTGTAGAAATTATAGCTCCGTTATCCTTAGTTATTTTTCCATAAAATTTTAGTATATTGAAGCTAAAAGCTTCTCTAATAAATAAAAAAATATCTGGTTCCTTCAGGTTTCCCAGATTTCCAGAAAAAAAATCAAAAATTAGGCCTTTGACTCTAAGGCAGAAATAACACTCTGTGCGTTTTATCGGATTGTAGAAATCATAGCTCCGTTATCCTTGGTTATTTTTCCATAAAATTTTAGTATGTTGAAGCTAAAAGCTTCTTTAATAAATAAAAAAATATCTAGTTCCTTCAGGTTTCCCAGATTTCCAGAAAAAAAATCAAAAATTACGCCATTGACTCTAAGGCAGAAATATCACTCAGTGTGTTTTATCGGATTGTAGAAATTATAGCTCCGTTATCCTTAGTTATTTTTCCATAAAATTTTAGTATGTTGAAGCTAAAAGCTTTTCTAATAAATAAAAAAATAGCTGGTTCCTTCAGGTTTCCCAGATTTCCAGAAAAAAATCAAAAATAAGGCCATTGACTCTAAGGCAGAAATAACACTCTTTGTGTTTTATCGGATTGTAGAAATCATAGCTTCGTTATTCTTGGTTATTTTTCCATGAAATTTTAGTATGTTGAAGCTAAAAGCTTCTTTAATAAATAAAAAAATATCTGGTTCCTCCAGGTTTCCCAGATTTTCAAAAAAAAAATCGAAAATTAGACCATTGGCTCTAAGACAGAAATATCAGTTAGTGTGTTTTATCGGATTGTAAAAATCATAGCTCCGTTATCCTGGCTTATTTTTTCGTAAAATTTAAGTATGTTAAAGCTGAAAGCTTTTTTAATAAGTATAAAATTATTTGGTTCCTCCAGGTTTTCCAGATTTTTAGAAAAAAAATCAAAAATTAGACCATTGACTCTAAGGCAAAAATATTAGTCAGTGTGTTTTATCGGATTGTAAAAAACATAGCTTCGTTATGTTGAACTATTTTTCCATAAAATTTTGGTATGTTGAAGCTGGAAGCTTATTTGATAAATGGAAAAATACTTGGTTCCTGCAGATGTCCCAGATTCCCAGAAACAAAAATCAAAAATTAGACCATTTAGACAAAATGTTTATCTGTGCCACTGTTTTGATCTTAAGGCTTGAGAACCTTCAACTTCAATATTGGAGACTTTAAAGGCTTCACAATGAGAGACTGACAGTCTTGTCTTCAATCCTTATACAGTTTTCGACGCCTTTAAAGTCTTACAAGACTTCAGTTTCAGGACTTCAATAAGCTAAGTTTTTAAGTCAAAAATTTGAGAGCTTCAAGATTGAAGTCTTTACATCAAATGAGTTTTGAATCTTTATACATGTTTTGGTGTCTTTAGAGTCCCATACTTTAATCATCTGAGTCTTTAGAGTCTACATTTTTAAAATGCTTCTTCAGGACCTCAAAAATCTATAAAGCATTAGGTTTCTACAGTTAATTCTGATTTTCCTATATATTGAAGACTGTAGAAGACATTTAACCCTGTGAAAACCTAGAGAAATTCTACATTTTGCTGAATAATCAATAAACTGTAAAATCTATAAAACAACGTGTATTGGGCTTTAGTATAGAGTTAGTAGATGACGCCACAGTTAAACATTTTTGATTACATAAAGCTCTACATTTTTTCAAACCGTATTCCAAATTTTCAATTGCATTATGAGCTATAAAATCTGATTAGTTTTGGCCATACCCCAATCCTTTTTGCCCTCTTTACATAATATAAGGATTAATCTTATTAAAAAGTCAGACATCCGACATTATCTTGAAATCTGATAATCTCAAAGTCAGTATTTTAATGATATCAGTCTTCAAACATATCCAACACGCACCTGCTGCGAACAAGTAAGTTGTGAAGCTACACTAAAGTAAGATTAAATCGTAAAAATACCTGTGCCGACAGATAATAAATAGAGCGCATATAGAGCAGTAGTAGGAGTAAGCCCGGAGTTAAATTATGCAGGCAAAAGGCTAAGGGCGAAATTTATTTTTAGACGCACGTTTATCGTACTCTTCCAAATTATGAATTTGCACCCACACTCCATGGGGCTATGGCAATTAATAATTCATAAAAGGATTTGAGATTTTTGTACGAGATTTTTTTCCACAAAAAGTTAAAATTTACTCAATTAGGTATTCCTTGAACGGTTTGCTTTTTCTTACTTTACAGATTGAAATAAAATAAACTTTAGATTTATTGGATTTTGGCTTTCTGTTATTATTACAACAACTTGATACAAACATCTTTGAGAATGAGAAAATACACAACAAATCCTACAGAGATTCTCTACTTCATCTTCTTCTTTACTTGGTCTTCTAATCCTGTCCTGAATTTAGGTTGCTCTCATATTATTTAATTTTTGCTTGTCCATATAATCAACCAGATTCTTCCAGCATTTTTCCAGATATCATCATATAATCTCTTTTGAGGTCTTCCAACACTTTATGTAATGCAGACTTTGAAGGCTTGTTTTTCGAAGTTTTCTTAAAAAATTGGAGCTTTTCAGGAATTAAAAAAACGACAAAAATTCTAAAGACTTTGATGGGACTGGAGCTTTCAAAAATCCTGAAACTTAAGACTGATTTGATGTTTTTAAAGTTTCCAAAGTCCTCGGAAATCACGAAAATTTTGAAGGTTCTCATTACATATTGAACTGAGAAGTTGAAATTATAATTTTCTATAACTTTTCAAGTCTGGTTATTCAAGATTTTAGGTTGAAGACCAGGGCCACCGCTACCATGTGTGCGGTGTGTTCAAAACACACAAGCGGAATTCACAGGAATTTTAAATAATTTTATATTTTTTTTTTTTGGAATTTCACGAGAATAATTTAAAATTTTGAAAAAATTACTTGGAACTCCAGGAAAATTATTGGAATTTCATCGGAATTTCATAATTTTACCGAAATTCCACATATTTTTGTTTGGAGTTCTACGTCGTATTCCTCGAATTTTAATAAATTTTACCGGAATTTTATTTAATTGCATACAATTTTTATGAAATTCGACATAATTTTCACGTAATTCTGCATAATTTCAGTAAATATTTGCATAGTTTTTATAGAATATTGCATATTTTCTAGAAATCCCCAGAAATTCTTTGAACTTTTGCATAGTTTCTATGAAATTTCGCATAATTTTTATGGAATTCCATACATGATACAACTTAAATCCACATAATTTTTATGGGATTTTGATTTTTTTGAAAGTCAACGCTTTTTTCACTAGAATTCCGCATAATTTCAATGGGATTTGGCATATTTCCAATGAAATTCCGCATACTTTATATAAAATTAGGCATCATTTCCATGGTATTCAGCACAATTTCAATGGAACTCCTCATAGTTTCTACGGGATTTCGTTTAATTTTTATGGAATTCCACATAATTTCTATGGGTTTTTATATTTGTTGAAATTTCCAATGCAATTTCCTTAGCGGTTCCCTTTGAATTCTGATTTCAAAATATTTAAACCTCAAAATTTGATTTTTTCATTTTTCAATTTTGCTCAATTTTGAATCTATAGAGCGGCTCAAAATTAGTGGAAAATAACCCTGACATCATTTTCAAATGACCATTATATACAGAAACAAAAATAAAAAGGAAATCCTATATTTGGCTCTGAAACATTTCCAAAATCTTGACATGGTCCTAATCAATTGCCCATATGTTTGTTAAATTTCAAGTAAATTGGAATAAATTATATATCATTGGAAAGAGCATTAAATTCTCTATAAATCCGTGTAAAATTGAGTTTGATAGATCAAATAGTTTTTGAGCAATTGACCATCAAATTTGATCTTTAATCCAAATTTTGTCAAAAATGTCAAACTCAATTTTCTCAAAAACTATAAATGTGGGAGTATTGTAAGTCACAGGTATTTTGGAGCTTGATAAGAGCCACAAATATTGAAAATTTCAATGGAATTTGCTTAACGTTTACTGAGCAATTGAGGTTTGAATATTTTGAAATCAGAATTCAAAAGGTGTAACCCTCGGGGTAACCCTTATGAAAAACTCGATTTTTTTATTTTTCAGTTTTGCTCAATTTTGACTTCACCAATCGATAGAGCGGGCAAAATTAGTGAAAAATAACCCTGACATCATTTTCAAATGCCCATTTTATACAAAAACAAAAATAAAAAGGAAATTCTCTTTTTGGCTCTGAAACATTTTCAAAATCTTGACATGGTCATGAGCATTTGCCCATATCCTTGTTAAATTTTTAGCAAATTCAAATAAATTATATATCATTAGAAAGAGCATCAAATTCTCTATAAATCCGTGTAAAATTGAGTTTGATAGATCAAATAGTTTTTGAGCAATTGACCATCAAATTTGATTTTTAATCCAAATTTTGTCAAAAACTTCAAACTCAATTTTCTCAAAAACTTTAAATCTGGGAGCATTGTAAGTCACAGATGTTTTGAAGCTTGATAACAGCTACAAATGTTGAAAATTTCAATGCAATTTGCTTAACGGTTACTGAGCAATTGAAGTTTGAATATTATAAATTCAGAATTCAAAGGGGGTACCCTTATGAAAAACTCGATTTTTTTATTTTTCAGTTTTGCTCAATTTTGACTTCACCAATCGATAGAGCGGGTCAAAATTAGTGGAAAATAACCCTGACATCATTTTCAAATGCCCATTTTATACAGAAACAAAAATAAAAAGGAAATTCTCTTTTTGGCACTGAAACATTTTCAAAATCTTGACATGGTCATGAGCATTTGCCCATATCCTTGTTAAATTTTGAGCAAATTCAAATAAATTATATATCATTAGAAAGAGCATCAAATTCTCTATAAATCCGTGTAAAATTGAGTTTGATAGGTCGAATAGTTTTTGAGCAATTGACCATCAAAGTTGATTTTTAATTCAAATTTTGTCAAAAACTTCAAACTCAATTTTCTCAAAAACTTTAAATCTGGGAGTATTGTAAGTCACAGATGTTTTGAAGCTTGATAACAGCTACAAATGTTAAAAATTTCAATGCAATTTGCTTAACGGTTACTGAGCAATTGAAGTTTGAATATTTTGAAATCAGAATTCAAAGGAGTACGTACCTAACCTTAAGAAAAACTCGATTTTTTTATTTTTCAGTTTTGCTCAATTTTGACTTCACCAATCGATAGAGCGGGCAAAATTAGTGGAAAATAACCCTGACATCATTTTCAAATGCCCATTTTATACAGAAACAAAAATAAAAAGGAAATTCTCTTTTTGGCACTGAAACATTTTCAAAATCTTGACATGGTCATGAGCATTTGCCCATATCCTTGTTAAATTTTTAGCAAATTCAAATAAATTATATATCATTAGAAAGAGCATCAAATTCTCTATAAATCCGTGTAACATTGAGTTTGATAGGTCAAATAGTTTTTGAGCAATTGACCATCAAAGTTGATTTTTAATTCAAATTTTGTCAAAAACGTCAAACTCAATTTTCTCAAAAACTATAAATCTGGGAGTATTGTAAGTCACAGATGTTTTGAAGCTCGATAACAACTACAAATGTTGGAAATTTCAATGCAATTTGCTTAACGGTTACTGAGCAATTGAAGTTTGAATATTTTAAATTCAGAATTCAAAGGGGGTACCCTTATGAAAAACTCGATTTTTTTATTTTTCAGTTTTGCTCAATTTTGACTTCACCAATCGATAGAGCGGCCAAAATTAATGGAAAATAACCCTGACATCAATTTCAAATGGCCATTTTATACAGAAACAAAAGTAAAGAGGAAATCTTATTTTTGGCTCTGAAACATTTTCAAAATCTTGACATGGTCATAATCAATTGTCCATATCTTTATTTAATTCCAAAAAAATTGGAATAAATTATATATCATTGGAAAAAGCATTAAATACGTTTTTCCTGCTAAATGGAATTAGAGTCATTAACGGTGGCCTTTTTTCCTGACCCGTCGTTCCCGAGAAAGAAAATCAAAATGGGAATAGACAAGAACCTGTACTACTAACCAACCAGTCGGTACGGCATTTTTAACATTCGTATCGTATACTTACTACAAGCGATGCCTGTTCTCTGGCATTAGAATGATGCATTTTCTTTATATGGATTGTGGGTAGGTCCAAAGAAATCGACAAATGTTGTAAAGGATTCAAGTAGTCTTTGCTGAAGCCTCAAAAGTATAGTTTCCTAAAAAAATAACCAAACATCATATATTTACAAGACACAAAATTTCTTCAAACAACCCTTTAGAAGTTTCAATGGGTAAATGTTGAGTCAATTTCGAATTTTCCATGTAAAATTCTCAAAGTAGCACTATAAACGTTAGAGAAAATTGTCCCTTTTTCCCTAAAAAAACTTTCAAACAAACTTCAAAATCATCCCTAACGCTTGCGCCCCCCGATTCTCGAAAAGTTTTCGCGCCTCAACGTCGCCGCTTTTAGTACGTCCTCCGCCCTTTGAACGTCTAATCTTTGACGGTTTAGACGATTTTTATACGATAAAAGTGCGCCAATAATGGTTTGACATAATTTTTTTAGGTATGACACACAGTTTTTGAACTAATTTTTGAAAAACTAACTTTTGTGTGGGTGATTTTTTCTGATTTAAAACAAAAATAATAATAATCATGGAGACGTTTAGTGGATATTACAATTATAAATAAAATGTGTAAGTATTTAAAAATAATTAAATTGACTAAAAATATCCTATTTATAATGCCATAATTGACGTCAACTTTGATGCACTATATATTTTGTAAAATGTATCGATTATGAAGGGCAAGTTGTCCAAGGGCGAAATCGCAATAATTTAAAATTCTCGATATTGGTACTTGGCAGAGAACAAATCCAAAATACACATTCCTAATTATTATTATCGATTCCGTGCCGTTTCAAATAATAAATCCTAATTGAAAATTAAACGCACACTTCCCAATTTAAATAAATAAATTGAACGTTATAATCGCGTAGGCGTGTTTATTATGTTTAATTGGCATTTTGGGGGGGGGGGGGGGGGGGAAATAATTAATTAATTTTGGGCTTTAAATAATTGCCAAACATAATATAGGGGTTTTTTGATTGATTAATTTCGTATCTTTGACTATTGATTAAAGTCATTGCCAATTGATAATTTACTAAGTCAGAATATTCAAATGAGGTATATTTTAAGCTTCATTCTTAATAGAGTTCTTAGGAAAATTTTCAAACGATAACGAATCAAATAACTACCTCGAAAATTACTTTATAAAAGCCAAACTAGTTTATATTAGATAAAGATCGCAGGCTCGTAATAATCTAGCTAAGGCTAACACGGTTAAAGTAACGAGCCGACACCTTAATATTATTCAAAACTAGATTATTTCCTGGAAATAATTACTGTGGTGGTTAGTTAGTTATACACCCACATTTGTTCCCTCCTTCAAAAACTTTCGACGTTAAATTCCCTATAATTACCATTTCGTTAATGATAAATTGAAAACCTATAATTAATATTTCAAAGCTCTATTAAGGAGGAAAAAAAAACCGTCTCACGTTTCAATCTATCTTGGATTTACGTGCTCGGAAAAATGGATACCGTTTGCTTCGGAATCAAGCTTATCACAGGCACGTCTCAATCTCTATACTCCATTTATCAAAATGGTAAGAAATTATTTACTGTGTATGTGAGAGTTGATAAGGCAAGAAAATGTTTTTAGTTGAAGGAGTTTCAACCCATAGCTATATTTTTTTAGGAAAAACATCTTTGTTGATTGGCTTCTGGATTTTTACATAATTTGTAAGGCTTTGGCAACTATGTTTTCATAAAAGCATGGGTGCATATTAACTGGAAAAATCACGAGAACGTAGGTCGAGGTTTTTTTTCTGGGCCCTCATCCTCGAAACAAGGTTGTTCTGGTTGCTCTCTCTTTGTCATTAACATAACAATATTAGCCATATTTTGGTACGAAATTTAGAACGGTTTTGGAAATACCAAAACACTTTCAAAGTTTTCCAACCTTCTTACTAAAACGATGAAATTTCAACTTTTTTTTTGTTGAGATTTTGTATCCTAATGGTCAAATAACATCCCCCCCAACTCCATACACTAAATTATTTTCAGATTTGAAGCCGAAATCTATGAAAAAAGGCACTCAGAAAAATTGAAAAATTGATAAACCACCCCAAATTGCTTGTAACGAAAATTTCAGCTTTCTATTTATAATAGAAAAAAAGTTATGACCTTTCAAAGTTTTCCAAAATCTAAATCATAAGGTTAGTTATCTTAGTACTAAAACGATGGAATTTCAAATTTTTGTTGTTGAGAATTTGTGTCCTAATGGTCCTTTGAGATCTTTCAAACTCCATATACTAAATTATTCTGAGATTTGCAGTCGAATCCAAGACACATTCTGACACAAATATTCAAAATATCATCTACTTATTATTATTTAGACTAGAAAACAGATAAAGGACCCCGCACACTTCCTATGGGATTTCTGATCGCGGTCAAATTTAACCGAACTTTAGTATGTTATAGATCTGACCTTTCTGATCAATAACTATCATAGACACAATTTAATCCTATGATTAGTTTTTGAGATACAGGGTGCTCAACGTGTGAATGTTCGATATGCATTATGACATTTTATTCAATCAGCAGAATCATATTCGTGTGAGAATTCGGTCAAGGCACAGAAACCAAGTGAAATACCAATAATTATTTGTGGGGTGTCTCATTTTGGTTAAACATTAGGAATAACTTTGTTGTTATTGGAGTTAGAAGGATGCGGTTTAAGCGAACTGCGGCTACTTTTTTGTCAAACGAAAGATGGCTCCAACAGAATTTCAATAAGTGTATCTCTAAATCTCTAAATTCTGGGCAGAACCTGTTTCAAAATAACTCCGAGACCAACTATAGCCAGGGGGAGTGGCTTTTATCGTTAACAGTCAATTCAATATTTCGTAATAAGCCTAATACACCTAATAAACATACACTATCCAACTGATACACTGCTAGGCACCTACAAGCACAGCGAGCAACGAACTAATAGAAGAACTATAGACATTACGCGGGCCAGAAACCTCGAATACACTCAATATGTAATCATTACAGGGGACTTTAGCGCCAAGGTAGGAAAGAAACAACATAGGGAACTTTGGCCAGGGAAAACGGAACAAATGAGGAGTTATGCTCGTAAACTTATTAAACAAAACAATTAAAAACTCTACTGTATGAACACCTTCCAAAAACAAACTCAAAGGAAGTGGACGTGACAAAGCTCAGGCGTACTGATGAAAAATCAAATTGATTTCATCCTTGCTAACAGGAACCCTGTCTGCAAAGATGTCACAGTTCTAAACAGGTTTGACACAGGAAGCGACCATAGACTAGTGGGTGCCAAGATACAAATAAACACCAACATAGAAAGGACAAAACTAACAAGAGATGCCTTGCAACTCAATCAGGAAACCTATCAAAAAGAACTGGAGAAGACGGTAAGGCCACCAGCACATAGACGAAATCTTCAATAAAATATCACATGGCATAACTGCAGCCACAAAGAAAACATGCAGTAGGATGAGATAGAGATCAGATACCAAATTAAACCCAGAGACGATAGAACTAATAAGAAAAAAAAAAAAAAAAAGAAAAACTGACAGAGACTCCTTTGAATATAATACTTCAAATAAAACAACGAAAAAAAAAAAATAAGAAAAGACCTAAGAGAAAATAAAACAAACCAAATCCTGGAAACTATTAAGAAAAATAAAGGCGTGAGAGTTCTAAGATCGAACCAAAAGAGGGGAAAACAGAAAATTGTAAAAATAAAGAACAATCAAGGAATCCTAATTACAAAAAAACAGAAAATTAGCAAGAAAATACAAATATTCTACATAAACAACTATACCAAGCCTAAATGGGCCACCTAAACATATTACAAACGTAGGCTCAGAAGACATGCCAGAAATATCACCATCAGAAATTAAATTCGCACCCCAACAGATGAAAAACGGCAAGAGTCCGGGAGAAGATAGAATAACACCGGAAATGTTGAAGATGGGTGGAAAAACACTAACAGAGACAATATGAATGCTGTTGAATAAATGTCTGATAGAGGGAAAAATCCCGGAACCATGAAAAAATGCCGAAAAAAGGGGATCGTTCAAATATAGAAAACTACAGACCAATAAGCCTGCTATCACACCTATATAAACTTTTCACTAGAATTATCAACAGTCGACTTACTGCGAAGCTACAGTCTTACCAATCGCCAATCGGTAGAACAAGCAGGCTTTCGAAGGGGCCTTAGCACTACAGACCAATGTCCTTTTGAACCAAATAGGGTTTGGACTAATAAGAACGATAAGAGAAATAAGGTTGATTACGGGGTTGGAAGCTCAATTATTTGTTGGAACTGTAAATTGGCAAATCATACTCATCTGGATTGTAGGGCTCCCAAATCGGTATTTTGCTTTAATAAGTGTGGTTCACCCAATGTCAAATCAACAAATTGTCCTAAATGTACAAAAAACTAAACAGTAGAGTGGGTCGAAGAGGCCGATTCCACATTCCTAGTCTTGTATCTAAGTCAGTCTCTCTAAAGTTGATCATTCTAAGTTGAGAGGATATTTTGACAGAAATGATTGGGTCCGGTGGTTGACCAGGGTCTCTGAATTTTCTAGATCATATTCTTTTAAAATAAGTAATAAAATTTCCTCGAAAAATAAATCTATTATTTACATGAAAAGTAGAAATGGTTGTAATTGTTATATTCCGGAACCCGTGAAGGATTTATTATGCTCGCAGTTCGGTGGTAGTTTTTGATCTTAAAGTGAATGGTAGGCCAACTCTCGCCCTTGTTTGTGGAGAAGCCGTTTCATAACCGACCCTATATCATGGTGCGATTATTTGACACTCACGTAATAGTGTTGTTTGTCTCAGGAGCGACTGTACTGTACCCGTCTGAATATTTTAGAGAGACACAATTTAAAAACCTATCCGGCAGTTACCGAAGAAGTACGCACTGCCGATGTCAAGTGTCAGCCTGTCAAGGGGATGGCTGATTTGCTTGTGGTCATTGACAATTCTTGTCAAGTAGTCAATGCTTTGGTGGTCCCCTCTTTGCCTCAAGCGTTTATATTTGATTTTGACTTTGCTCAAAAGTTTGAGAATCTTGAAGATAACTCTTGGTTTACGCAGAATAAGAAAGTTTTGAAGGTATTCCAGATGTTTCTGTCCTGACAAAATCGCCTTTTTTAGATTCTCTTCGAGATCTCAGTTTGGAAAAAAAAATTTTGGCGGAAAGAGTGATTTTTTCGTTTGCGGAAATCAACAATAAAGACAAACTACGACCAACAGATAAAATTGTGATGAGTATTGACACTGGTCATTCCCCCCTTTTCAAACGAAGACCTTTTCCTATGTCACTATACATTGTAACGCTCTTTTGTCGAAACAAAAGAATGTTCATAATTTGTGCTCGACTATTGCTCAGTGGTTGTTTAGCTTGGGGTGGTCCTTGGTGTTGGTACAGTAGAGAGAGGGCGCCACTAGTTTGTATAAATTATTTTGATTACCAAGGAATAGCCAAACTAGGCACTATTCCAACAATTAGTTACTGTTTAAAAAGATAAATGCAAAAATCTGAAAAGAAAGATAAAATATCCAAAATCCAATACCTATCTCAC